ATCCAGCACTTCTCAGGATTCCAAATAATGCAGCCAAGAAATTAAAAAACAACAACAACCGAGAATTGGAAGGGCAGCTGTGAAAGAGATCATAAAAGAGCAAGCTTTTTCAAAAGGAGCTGCTAACCAGTTCCAGTCTAAAACTAAATATGAGAATGAGGGCAGAAAGAGGCAAATTTCACAAGGAACAATGCTCCAAGGACACAAGTAATTATTAATTAAAAATTAATGAAATTTATACCCCTTCTTCTTGCTACTCTAGTCAAATCATGCCTTCCTCGTTGCCTTCTGTAAACAGTAGCTATGCAGCACAAAATGTAATCTCCATAATTTGAATACTGGTGAAGAACATCACACCTAATCTTGCTTCTATGCAAGCTGGTGTGCAGTGGGAAGTTAAGGGACTGTTGTTGTTATTGTTAAGTTGTGTCCAACTCTTCGTGACCCCATGGACCAGAGCACGCCAGGCACTCCTGTCTTCCACTGCCTCCCAGAGTTGGGTCAAATTCATGTTGGTAGCTTTGGTGGCACTGTCCAACCATCGTGTCCTCTGACGTTCCCTTCTCCTCCTGCCTTCACATTTTCCCAATATTAGGGTCTTTTCTAGGGAGTCTTCTCTTCTTATGAGATGGCCAAAGTATTGGAGCCTCAGCTTCAGGATCTGTCCTTCCAGTGAGCACTCAGGGTTGATTTCCTTTAGAATGGATAGGTTTGTTCTCCTTGCAGTTCAGGGGACTCTCAAGAGTCTCCTCCAGCACCACAATTCAAAAGCATCAATTCTTCGGCGGTCTGCTTTCTTTATGGTCCAGCTCTCACTTCCATACATTGCTACTGGAAAAACCATAGCTTTGACAATGCGGACATTTGTCTGCAAGGTGATGTCTCTGCTTTTAAAGATGTTGTCTAGGTTTGTCATCGCTTTTCTCTCAAGAAGCAGGCATCTTTTAATTTCATGGCTGCTATCACCATCTGCAGTGTTCATGGAGCCCAAGAAAGTAAAATCTGTCTCTACCTTCATATCTTCTCCTTCTATTTGCCAGTAGGTGATGGGGCCAGTAACCACGATCTTAGTTTTTTTGATATTGAGGTTCAGACCATTTTTTGCGCTCTCCTCTTTCACCCTCATTAAGAGGTTCGAGTGGTATCATCTGCATATCTGAGGTTGCTGATATTTCTTCCGGCAATCTTAATTCCAATTTTGGATTCATCCAATCCGGCCTTTCACATGATATATTTTGCATATAAGTTAAATAAGCAGGGAGCCAATATATAGCCTTGTCACATTCCTTTCCCAATTTTGAACCAATCCGTTGTTCCGTATCCATCTCTAACTGTTACTTACTGTCCCACATATAGATTTCTCAGGAGATAGATAAGATGGCCAAGCATTCCCATTTCTTTAAGAACTTGCCATAGTTTGCTGCGGTCCACACACTCAAAGGGACTAAGCTATGCCTAAATGAGTCCCTTTGGTTCCAATATTCCCTCTGTCATGAAATCACTGGCAGGTTTTAAGCAATTCATTTCTTCTCAACCACATCTGTGTTATGGGAAACAACAGTCTCTAAAACAAAGATGTTCCTTATATGGAGCCAGCCCTGCATCTTTTGTTTAATAGAGTTTTTCATATTTGGTATTTATAATTGTAGAGAGTATTTATAGACATTTCAGATGTAGATTTATCACAGAATGTTATGTGTTTTTTTGGGGGGGGATTAAGGGGTTAATCGGCAAAGAAATATATGAAATGAAAAACAATGAAAAAATATAAGATGCATACAATAAGGAAGCTAAAATACTTTGGTCATGCAACTTCCAACAAAAAGTAAAGACTGTTAGAGCTGATTATTCAAGGAAAAAGAAGTAGGGAAAGACACACTTTAAGAAGGATATACTGTACTGTGTCAGCTGAAGAATCTTGGAGGCAGGTTTCAGTGCAAAACACATCAGAACTTAAACCTGCTGCATCCAAAGTTAAAACAGGCATGATATAACAAGTGGTGGCTAGAAAGGAACAAGAAGAAAAGGGCAAGGCTTTTATTTTGTTTTTAAAGCATTTTCCGTTGATGAATTTCTCTGAAATGCATTAATGCAGTGTTTCCCAACCTAGAGGTCACAAAAGTGTTTTCTGGGAAGGTCACGGGGTCACCTTACTGTATATGTGCTGTAGTCCTTGTTCAATAATTTCTTCCTTGACCTGTTGGAGCCAGATATTAAAGTGGAATCACAGAATAATTGAGTTGGAAGGAGCCTGTAAGGCCATTGAGTCCATCGCCCTGCTCAATGCAGGAATCCATGTCAATGCAGATCTGACAGATGGCTGTCCAGCTTTCTCTTGAACGCCTCTAACATTGGAGCGCTCACCACCTCCCGAGGTAATTGGTTCCATTGTCGTATTGCTCAGGGTGTACGTGTGAGAAAGGAGGCATTTGGGGGAGAAAGAAGCCTCTACTTTCTGAGAAAGGATGACTTGACTCCATTGAAAATACCTTTTCATGCAAAAATGGTGGGGTGTGTGTGTGTGCTTGTGCATGTGTGTGTGACAGATTACTTGGCTGTTATAAAAGGGGGCTGCGGCTTAACAAAGGTTGGGAACCACGCATTAAGGGAACCATACTCACTTCTGCCAGCATCTTTTTTGCATTTGATCGTCTCCCTTTGTAGTAAATAGTATGATTGACATACAGCAGGGGTGGTGAACTGTATTTGGGTGACAGTCCAAATCTCTGGCCCTCCGCCCAATAAATGGAAAGAGGGGGGATGAGTGAAATGCCATCCACTGGCATTTTCAAATACTACCTGGGAGCAGGCTATGGCCCTCCTCTTCCTTCCCATTGTGAGGCTGGGAAGGAAGAACACAGTCAGGAAGAGAACTGCTGGTATCTCTGATCAGTGAGGGTAGATGGCAAAAATCCTGCCAGGTTAGACTTGGTGTGTGTGTGTGTGTGGGTCAAGGTTAATGGAGGAGAAAGGGTCTTTGGTGGGAGGTTTGACCTCTTCAGGCCAAATTAGGCTTATGGGATAGAAATTGCCTTTCCTAACTTTCCAGGATTATTTTAACAATCACAATTAGATACTGAATTCAACATACCGGTACTTTAAACCCTCGGCAGTGCCATAGAAGTGTTAGGCCTTGTTATGTATGTTCAGATGCTGTGATACTTGATAACCTTCTCCATTTGCTGAGACAGGTATGCAGCTTTCCCTTCTCACATCACAGCCTTCTAAGAGGCCATGTGGCTCATGATCCTTTGTGCGCATCAGATCTCGCACATAAGATCTTATGCAGAAACCCAATTACAGCTCTTTCCAACATCAAAGAAGCCAGTACACTTTTCATTCTCACAAGGGGCTATAAAACATTCTGTATTTGACAAATCAAAGCAGTTTTAGAGAAACGTATCACGTAACACACTTGAAAAAGCAGCACTAGCCAGCATTGCACAGCAACACTGCCCCAACGTATCTTTTCAGAGCAGACACAGATACATCTCCGCACACAGTACAGATATTTTTAGATGCCATGCACGCTTTAGCACCATAGTATAATAGCACCATACTCAACAACAGAGATTGCTCCGTTTACCTAGCGGTAAACATGTCTTCTTCAAGACGCCACCAAGTCTATGCAACTCTCTATACTGAAGTCTATGTTAAAGCATTTCCAATGGCCTCTAGTTAATGTAAGGACTTTAAAGGCTTTTATTCTGCAAACTCTCCTTATTAGCAAAACTGCAATTCATTGAAAATAATTGTATCAGGAATTGTAAAGTGATCTGATACATCATGGCAACCATACAGCCTCTCTAGGTCATATTAGATGACATGATGGACATCTGTGGTATGATCTATTCTGTCTATACATATATTTGCATAAACTGAATGCATAGAATTTTGCTTCCATCAACTTTAGCCTTCACTTGCTCAATCAGGGTGAAAACGCTCAGTTGCAGTTGTCTCTAAAGGAAGGCATTAGAATGAACACAGTTTCTTCAGGTGTTCAGAAAGGGTTAATTTGAAAGTTTGCGCAAAGGAGAGAGTTCTAGTTCCGCCCTCCTGCCTGTCACTGTCTCCACACAATGACAGGCAGTCTGGAAAGGACACTGTCAATGAAATCAAGAACCCTGATTTTTCACGATCTGGAATGGTGTGGAGAGACTCCATTTGTGGCAAAAGTCTTCAGACCATTCCTCCCTCCTTGGAGATAGTGACAGTAGGGCTAGGATGCTTTCCCTGCTTACATTTTCAAACTGACTCATTCTTGAATACCTGAATAGAGCTAATATGATATAATATGACTTACGAACAATGTGGCACCACTACTTTTTCCCCTTTTTTCCTAAAGCTAATGTTATGAACAATGTGGCACCACTACTTTTTTTCCTTTTTTTTTTTGAGTGAGCCAAGAAGAGATGGAAAAAAGAGAGGGCAGGAGAAAGGAGAACACGGGAAAAGGGTAAATAGATGTGGGATGGACTGGGCTGCACAAGGTTGGTTGAGGTCAGGGGAAGGAATGATATGCCATTTGGCACGCTCCTCTCATCCGAACACCATATCGACCTTCATGTTGATTAAATGATTCATTTGATTGTTTGCAGAAAGTCAAGGGAAGTAATTTTTTTTTACCTAGATCATTTTTGATGTGATGAAGCACTTTGATTAAATTATATATATATAATTTATATAATTATCTCATATATATCTTATACAGTGGGGTCTCTACTTAAGGACTTAATCCGTATTGGAAGGTGGTTCTCAAGTTGAAAAGTTCTTATGTTGAATCTGCATTTCTCATAGGAATGCATTGAAAACCATTTAATCCGTATCTGCTCTTTTCCGTCTATAGAAACTACAGAGGATCTCTCTTGGGCCCATCTTGTCACTGGGATGCTATCAATCCATTTTTGTGTTTTCGTCCTAATCCATTGACACATGTGTGTGTGTGTGTGTGTGTGTGCGCACGCGTGCGTGCATGTGTGTGTGTGTGTGTGTGTGTGTGTGTGTGTATGCCTTTCTGTGTAAGAAACTGCTTGCAATTGTGATCAGCAATACACAGAGAGGCAAAGAAATATATATTTTAAAATGTTAATGCAAGTGATTCATTGCATCAGTGGTGATCTAGCATATGCAATACAAATTTCACTTCCCCTGACTCTCAACAGATAACCAGGGGAAGTGTTGAATTTCTGATAGCCTGAAGTGGTTCCTAAGTCACTTCAGGATACTGGAAATTGACACTGGAAAGAGCTACCAGGCTCTAATTTAGCCCATTCCAAGTGACTGCACTTGTTGGGAATGGACTAAACTGGAGCCCTCCAATCTGCACTCAAAGAGTAGAACCCCTTGGCAGGGGTGCAAAAAGGTTCAGGTTTGGGCAAATTAGTCTGGTACAGTAGTGTCCCCATATGGACACCATGACAAAAGAATAGACCCACCCAACCCATCATCACACAGTGGGGCAAATGGCTGTGTGAACAGGCTCTTAGTAATAGAACAAACTAATAACACAAAACATTAGAACAAAATAAACCCAATGATCTGAATCTGAGCTAAGGTTACTCTGGATTTGGAACAGATTAAAGTCACTGGATTTGGAACAGATTAAAGTCACATTAAAGTCACTGGATTTGGAACAGATTAAAGTCACAGTATTATAGTTCCAGACATTGTGGTGGGTGAGGCACTCCTGCTTAATAGCATTGCTTAGGTTAGATTTCTGATTTGGCCTTCTTAGTTCTCGGTCACTTTATGATCTGAGGCTTGATAGATGCCGAGGTCCTCTTTTACTAACAGTCCAGGGTGTCTTGCATGTGGAGCAGCACTGCTTCTGCACAGATGGCACCGAACATTTGCCGACATCCCTCACCCTCTTGCAGAAATTTGCTGACAGCCTGTCTTTTCTGCAAGCTGACCCTGCAGTAAAACATACGTACACCCATATGCATAAATACATTAATACCATTTAGTGCTCATAGTAAGGCTTCAGAAGAAACAAAAGAAATTAAATGACTTATTAATCACTGCTCTGTTACTCAGTCATCGAGAACTGATTCATGTGATGTGATCCAAGACAAGTTGAGGAAAAGAACATGAAATGGGTCATGAAATTAGGTGATGGACTTGGAATCATGAGCATCTATTCATTAGAGATTAGATGCCATTGGGCAGAATCTACTGGAGTCCATGTAAGATTTGCATAACTTGCTGTGGTTAATTCTGACTAGTTGACAAGATGTCAGGGTATGTTTTGGTCGCATGCCTGATCACGTCTGACTGTACAATACCGTGTTTGCCCAAAAATAAGACAGGGTTTTATATTAATATTTGCTCCAAAAATGCATTGGGGCTTATTTTCAGAGGATGCTTTATTCTTTTAATGCACAACTATCTACTACAGTCATGTCATCGTCCTCTGGTTGCTGCACAAGGGTGGAGGGCGGGGTCTTACTTAACTAGGGCATATTTTGGGGATAGGGCTTATATTATGAGCATCCTGAAAAATCATACTAGGGCTTATTTTTAGGTTAGGTCTTATTTTGGGGGGAAACAGGATATGTACACTGGCACCTCATCAATTAGCTGCAATTAGCCACAGCAAGTTACTTGAATGTTGCACAAACATCAATAGGAACCTAACATTTGAGAGCTGGAAGAGATCTTAGAAGGTCCTATAATCTAACCATCTGGTCCAATGCAGGAATCTTGCAGTTAGACTAGGATAGGAAATCTGTATTCTCCCCTGCCTGGATGTTGCTGGACTCCTGCATCCCCATCAGCTTCTGGTAACAAGATCAACATCAGGGATAATGGGAATTATAGTACAAGAATATCTGGACAACTGTAACTCCTAAATAAATCATCCCAGACAAATGGCTCCCTATTCTTTGCTTATGTACCTCTCCTAGAGGGATAACGGCCTTCTCTCATACTGTTAGGAAGGTAGGTTCTAGGTGAAATCTGATACTATCGAGACCAGAATAAACCAATTGAAATTAATGGTTTTGTGAGTCACAATATCTATGGATTTCAACAGGTCTACTATATCTCAGACTAACATCAGATTTAGCCCCTAATGAAGCCAGAAGCTACAGCCCTCCAACTTCCACTCACTGGTCCTGAACCAGAAGTCTAGGGCAAGGACAGATGGTTTTGCTCCACCTCCTGTATGCTGATCCTTCAGGTATCTGAAGATGGTTATCATTATTTCCTTGAATCTTTCTTCTCTGCTGCTCAGCTAGTGCAGAATTGGCAGCCAGAACTGTACATGGTTTAACCAGGCAGAATATCATCAAACTAATTCTGAAAGAGCTACATGGGCTGCCTGGTTGATTCCAAGCCCAAATCAAGGAACCGGTGTTCACTTTTGGAGCAACTCTCCCTATACCAGACAACTCAGAAATTACGATTTTTGGGGCAGACTCGTGATCAAATATATCATGTATAATGTGGATCAACAAGGGAAGAGGCCTTCTTGATTGTAGTTTTCACATGGTGATGCAAATGGTGTCAACATTGCTGGATATCTCAGTGGTTTAGGTATCTGGCCATGGAGCCAAGGTTGGGAGTTTGATTCCCTACTTTACTTCCTTGACAGGAGCTTGATTCAATGATCAATAGGGTCCCTTCTAGCTCAGAAGTCCTAAGATTATTATTATTACTGCACTTGGAGCCAGCACAAATCTGTTTAATTTCCTTTAATTGTCATAAATATTTGTATTGCTTTAATCATATTTACTGATCACCCAAAGCATATATGGACATTTTGACTTCATGAATAATAAATTTTATTTATTTATCATTTGCTAAAACATTTTAAAAACTGCAGTATCCAGAAAGCAAAAGGTGGTTTTAAAATGTTTTTACAAATAATATATAAACAAATGTATTATTAAAGAATGCCAAATGCCTGCACCCGCTTTGTATAAAATTAATTCCATGTTTCAGATAATTATACATTTTGTCTTCATTCTCTTGTATGTATTTACCCTGATCTAGCTCTAGCATCTATAAAATGTTATTTTCATATAATTAGATGTGGATGGAAGATTTGAATGCAAGCACATGTTATTGAAACAGCCATCATCCACACTCGGCTGCATATGTAAAATTCTATCTGATTTTGGCTTGCAACTGTTTACCTAGGAAGCATGGGCAGATACAGAATCCTGTTTTTGTCTGCAGCTTCTCTATAGGGACGTGGTGGCATGTTAAGCCGCAAAGCCTCTGGGCTGCAAGGTTGAAAGATCGGCAGTTTGAATCCATGAGGCGGAGTGAGCTCCCGTCACTTGTCCCAGCTCCTGCCAACCTAGCAGTTTGAAAGCATTCACATGAGAGTAGATAAATAGGTACCACTACGGTGGGAAGGTAATGGCGTTCCATGTCTAGTCGTGCTGGCCACGTGACCACAGAAACTGTCTATGGACAAATGCTGGCTCTATGGCTTGGAAACGGGGATGAGCATCGCCCCCTAGAGTTGAACACGACTGACTAAAATGTCAAGGGGAACATTTACCTTTATCTTCTTCTCTGGATTGTGGCAATTATGGGTCAAATCACACATTAAAGTAAAAGTATATCTTCTTGTCTTAGAAACAAAGCCACAATATCTCAAATGACTATAGATAAACAAAAGCAAGCTCATTTAAATGTGGGTTGAGAAAAGCTTAGAGTAGAATAAACAAGTAATTTTCTTCTCTTTGCTGCTAGACAGGGAGTCGGCACCTCAGTGAGTGAGAACCTATGTTTGTTAGTCTATCGTGTCCACATTGTTCCTGTCTCTATCATCCATGTACAGGAATCCTTTGCAACATACATGGAAAAGTAATTTTAGTGTTTGCAGTTGTCCATAATGATAACACTTGTGTACTGTGAACTCAATGTTGACTTGTAGCAACCGTCTTCAGAGTTTTCCAGGTAGGAAACCCTGAATATCCAGGATACTCAGAAGTGGTTTACCATCTCCTTCTGGGAGCATCCTAGGACTGTGCATTTTGCATCCTACGCAGGCTGGCTCTTCCACCATGAGGACTCAAACTCCCAACCTCTGGCTCTGCAAGCAGATAGCAAACTACTGAGCTATAAGACCAACACAATCCTGAATATGGCATTATTCACTGTTTGAGCCATGATTTTAATACCTAAATCACCACCACCTTGGCATGACTTCCTGGCATTCCAGTTTCAAATAAGTTTTAGCCTAAAGATTTGGGGTTCTCTAAATTTGTTTTGGGAAGCAAAGCTGTTACATATCTAGGGATGATTGAGAAAATCTCTGTGATTACTGAAGCAAGCTAGCTAGATCTGGAAACACCTGGCAAAAGCAACAGAATGCAATAATCTTTCAAATTGTGCACTTCTTTGAACTTTTATGAAGCATTCCTCAGCTCAAAGTTACAACATCATGTATTTGAAATGCATATTTGAGTAGAGATGGGATATTTGTATTTGTGTCCCAGGTGGGACGAATACAAATATTGCCACCACAGGTGGAATATTTGTATTTGTGTCCTAAGTGAGACGAATACAAATATCGCCACCACAGGTGGCTTGGCCCTTTCAACCCTCCCCTCAGAACCAGTCCGGTCTACCCACTGGACTTTGCATGGTGTGTGGAGCTATCATCGGAAACATCAGCCGCCTAGAGTGGTCGAAATGACTAGATAGGCGGGGTATAAATACAATAAATAATAATAATAATCATGGCAATCATGTAAGTAGGCCGACTGGCACTTCCCCGCCTTCCTGTGCAGCTGCCCACTCTGGCAAGGAGGCAGGATGACGAGTCCCCCCTTAGCTGTTGAGTGGACAGCTGCCCTCCCCTCAGAACCAGTCCGGTCTACCCACAGGACTTTGCATGGTGCGTGGAGCTATCATCGGAAACATCAGCTGCTTAGAGTGGTCGAAATGACTAGATAGGCGGGGTATAAATACAATAAATAATAATAATCATAATAATCATGACAATCATGTAAGTAGGCCGACTGGCACTTCCCCGCCTTCCTGTGCAGCTGCCCACTCTGGCAAGGAGGCAGGATGACGAGTCCCCCCTTAGCTGTTGAGTGGACAGCTGCACAAGGAGGTGGGGAAGTGCCAGCTGGGCTTAGTTCTGCGCTTGGCACAATCTTTCCGATGATGGCCATGCACGCCACACGAAGGTCAGTGAGTGGACTGAGCTGATTCTGGGGGGAGAGTCAAAAGGGCCCAGCCCCTTTGTGGTGGTGATATTTGTATTCTTCTCCCCCAGGAGACGAATACAACTATCCCATCTCTAATTTTGAGATAAAACATATCTCTGCTTTAAGATACAATAGGCTGATACTTTCATATCTTCTGAGAGAACACATTCAAAAAGATACAATATGCTTAAGATACAATAGGCTGATACGTTCATATCTTCTGAGAGAACACATTCAAAAATATATTGCGAATACATTATGCTCAAAATATAAATTTTAGTATATAACTGAATATTATTTTTTGTTGGGAGTTTCACCTTAAGTTAAGTGATAATTGGGGAAACCAAGCAGAATGGATAAACGAGCAAAAGTCACATATGTGGTGAACGATTCACCTTTAGACATGTATTTAGCAGTGTTGCCATAAGTCATAAGATTTCTTTTTGGGGGGGGGAGCCAGAGCATCTCCAATGTGGCAGCTTGTGGTACAGAATTCTTTGTATTTCTGAAATTTGATTACTCTTTTATTTTTTTTCCTAAATACCTGGGCTTGCCACACACTCTTGCAGGTTGCACTTCTGAGAGCCTGGAGGTTTGGTCTTGTGGTCACACATGTTCATATCTTCCACCAGATGGTCTTCCATGCTAATGCACTGCACTGCTCTTTGCTGGAGACCTCCACCACATGTAACAGGGCACTGGAAGACATTGAGAATGACAATGCAAGAACAGGTTTAAAGAACAGGACAGGAACTGTCATGATTAATTAGAGCAAAGGGTTAACTAGTTCAGCTTCCAAGGAAAAGCAAAAAAGAAAAGACGGAGAAGCAATGAAGGCTGAAGAAAATGGAAAAAAAACCTACCAAAAAAAACACCCCACACCAACCCACAAGATATGAAACATATCTTCCGATGCCAGCAGATTCTCTGACATGGAGCTACAACTTTCCTTCCACTTTGCTTTACAAGAGTTGTTTCTGTATGCAGAGTTAACAGCTTGTAAGTTTGTGTGGAAATAGGATGTGTGCTGAAAGTTCAATCCAGAAGGTTCATTCCCAGTCCGGCCAATATTTTCAAACTGCTTCTGTCTTCATGAGGCTCTTTTATTTTTAATGTACTTTGTCTTCAACACTTTCAAAGCTATGAGTCCGACTAAAATCTATTTTGCAATGGGATGGATATTTACTACTTCCTCGTTCCTAAAAGCGAAAGAGGCCAGATCTGACGGAAGAAAGGTTTTCTGATACTTAAAACAATTCCGTAAAGGTGAAACTGCTGAATAGATAGAGGCATGGCTTAGAAAAGTTATTTTTGGGGGAGTAACAGAGTCTCTGAGTCAGTAAAAAGATTCTGTGAATTGTAATTTTAAAAGGTAATGTCCCCAAATGTGGTTTTTAACAGTAGAGAAGATTGAGTCAGCTTTCTGACTCTGTTTTTCTCTTATTCTCCCATCTGTCTCTGCTATACACTTTTTAAAAAAGAGGCATGGTGGTGGCCTTAGGAATGGACCTCAACAGATGGGAAACCTTGACATCTGAGCGTTCAGCCCAGAGGCAGGCAGTGCATCATGGTCTCTCCCAACTGGAAGAGACCCTTGTCCAGCAGGCTGAGGCAAAGAGGCAGTCCTGAAAGCAGCAAAATCAGGGAGCTGGGCAGGGGACAGATGGTATTTGTCTTCAGTGTTGAAGGGATTGTCACTTTCAAATTGGCCTTCTCAGCCACACTAGATGCTCTTCCAAGACCTCTAATTCAGAGCACATTACCATAGTCTCTCAAGACTGACGAGTGCCTAACCTAAATGGTGGTGGTACCAGTGGTCTGGGATGTAACATGTAGGTCAAGGCATAACCCACCAGCTCACGTGGACGAATGCAGCTATCATCAGGCTCAGCCACCGTAGCTGAGAGTGAGAGATTGTGGGTGGTTTGTAATCCAGTACTATCTGGAGAGCTAAAGAGATGTTTAGAGGCATTCCTGAACTGGCAATGAGTTGGCTTCAGTGCCCCTTCAGCATTGGTGTAATGGCAAATCTGAACACGTGTGCCCAGTAAAAAGATTCTGTGAATTGTAATAGACCTCAGGGTAGTGTGGGTGGCATATAAATTGAATAAATAAATTAAATAAATAAATAAAAAATTAAAAGGTAATGTCCCCAAATGCAGTTTTTAACAGTTATTAACAAACAAATAAATAAATAAGTTGCCCATCCCTGTTGCAGAAGATTCAGTGCCTAACCTAAATGGTGGTGGTACCAGTGGTCTGGGATGTAACATGTAGGTCAAGGCATAACCCACCAGCTCACGTGGACGAATGCAGCTATCATCAGGCTCAGCCACCGTAGCTGAGAGTGAGAGATTGTGGGTGGTTTGTAATCCAGTACTATCTGGAGAGCTAAAGAGATGTTTAGAGGCATTCCTGAACTGGCAATGAGTTGGCTTCAGTGCCCCTTCAGCATTGGTGTAATGGCAAATCTGAACACGTGTGCTCTACTCGTCCCTCTCCTCAAAAACTCAGACAGCCTCTAGCCTAGATGGTGTGGCAGAGGATCTCTTAGTCTCTATTACTCAGAAAGTCCCAGAGCCTTGACCCTTTCAGCCCTGGTTTTGCTATACCACAGCCCTTTGCTCTACAATTTTATGATTCTATGGTAAGTTGCCCATCCCTGTTGCAGAAGATTCCAGGATTATGCGCAGCAACTGACAGTTCTACATAAAAAATGCCCTGACTCTCCCAAGAGGAACAGCAAAGCCTGATTCCATAATACTGTAATGGTGTGCCTTCCTTCAAGATCAAATACATATAAATGTCATGGATTGTGCTCACAACTGGCAATTAATTGCTTGACCCAATAGCTTGCCTTAGAGATAATATACCTCATTCCAGGCCTCCGCATGCCACTCAAAGCAAGGTTGTTTATTGCAGCTCGTGTTCAGTGATGGTTTGCGTTCGACTATCTGGCAATGAAATGGCCTCAGGATTCTATTCTCACGCACATCAAGGCAATGAACATCACGGGTCTTGAAACCGCCTCCACAGCTGGAAGAACACTGTGAAGAAAAAGAGCATGAAGAAGTTGACTTCTGGAACTGCAGAAGACTCTGGCAGGAATCTGTGGCCAACCTGTCAGTAGAGATATCATTATCACCATCGTAGAACTGCAGAGCTGGAATGGATCATTGAGTCTAGTTTCTGTCAAGGAGACTCAACAAGGAATCACACCTCTGGCTCCACAGTCAGATGTTCAAATCATTGAGCTGTCCAGCAGTTTGTATTGTGGCCTAGCGAGCAGAGTCCTGGGTTTGAATCAGATACAAATCCCTGTTTTGTCATCACTGACTAACCTGGGTCCAGACTCCATTTCCCAGGCTAGTCGAAGGGTTATTGTTTACCCCAGGGAGGAAGTCAACAGGGAATCAAACCTCTGGCTCCACAGTCAGATGTTCAAATCATTGAGCTGTCCAGCAGTTTGTATTGTGGCCTAGCGAGCAGAGTCCTGGGTTTGAATCAGATACAAATCCCTGTTTTGTCATCACTGACTAACCTGGGTCCAGACTCCATTTCCCAGGCTAGTCGAAGGGTTATTGTTTACCCCAGGGAGGATAAAGGTGGCTTTTATGGTACACAACATATGTTAAGGGGAATCACAATATAAACCTCTACTTTTCTCAGATGAGATTGAATTTTTTTGGAAGCTTTGTTCTTTCTGGGCAAGTTTATAAGAGCTTTTGTACATTTTTCACATTTTGGAACTCTGTGTGTGTGTGTGTGAAAACAATTAGCAGAAGTACACAAAATACAAAGGGGAGTAGCTTCTCAGGGATTCACTTCTGCAGGGATTCACTTCTGCACAGCTAACATTGTGCAGGGAGTTCCACTCTTAAGTGAGATGTCTGTTGCACAACTAGTTACAACTAGTGATTACACGTCCACAAGCATTAACACAAGACACTTCTCCAAACATTAAAACCACCAAAAAATTACAGTATTATTATTTTGTCTGTATAGACCCCAACAAGATATCGGCACTCGTATTATGCACAAAAAAGTTGTTTCTTTGTGTGAACTCTCTCTGTCTCTTTTAAATAATGCTACTGACAGAAAAAAATGCTAATCTTTTTGCATTGGTTGGCAACTTTTTTAGTCTGGGAACTGTGACATTTTAAAAACATGCTTTCCCCTAGAAGATGAGTGTTTTCCCCTAACACACAACGTTTTCCCCTCCAGGTGCACAAATTTTTCAAAGCTAATATCTGACAGATCAGATCTGCAAATGAAACTACTGCTCACAAAGCTGCCAAAGAACTAGCTGAGTACTTCTACCTTTTAAAAAGTCCATTGAACAAGAAGATGACAATTGGCACTGTTGAATGTTTTGTGTCATTCCATAAAGATTAGTCTAACAAACATGCACATTCTCTCTGAGACTCAGGATATGATCACATGGGGAAATCTAGACCATGTAAGGAGCCATCTGGCACAATCTTTCCCCTCTCAGTCACATGACACACAGGAAAATGCACACCAGCTTGGCTCTGATCCTTGCCTATACTGAACCGTTTGGTCCTGCTGTAGGATTTCTGCTTTTTGGGGTTGGGCTGGAGCAATTTCCTGACAAAAGGAAGGGTTGTTTAAGGGAGATCGCTCCCTTTCTTGTATGATCAGTCATTTCCCTTTGTAGTCATCTTATCACACTCTAAAGACTTGCCTTCATTGCAAGGAGAAAATATGTTATACAGTTTCCCATTTAGTATGTCTGGATGAACCAGAGCATGGTTTACTTTATTTACACAAAATGAAAAAGGAATGGGAATGGAAAAGGAAAACAAGAAATCTCTGAGGAAAGTTCTTAGTCTCTTAGTGGCTTAAAGACAAGAAGGGTCTTCTTCTTGATAGTAAATAATGCCTGAGTTTCCTATATTAACAACAGGCTGGCTAAATAAAAAACAAACAAAACATGAAATTTAAAAATAACAGATGCAATGAGACCTCCTGTTACAGAAATAAATGCTTCATAATTACATTCATAACGCAGTTGATACTTCCAAACAGACAATCGATTTAGATTCAATGTACCTTTCTACTTTCTTTCTTAATGAAATGTCAAGCAACTTAGTTTTGTGACGTTGAATCCAAAGAAAATAAAGGACAGCGAGAAGATCTCCATGTTGGGGAACGTCTTTGATTAAGATATTTCTAAACCTATTTTGCAACACTGCTTGTAAAAAAAGTGTTTAAGTCCTCTAAATCAGAGCCAGACAGGTTGAACTCTTTTCAGTGTCATGAGAATTTTTTTAAATTCACCTGGAAATTAGGAAGAACATCGAAGATACAGTACATTACCTTGCTCCAGTTGCCAGTTTTCCACTGGGCACATGGGCGCAGGTAACACCTTCGTGCCGGTTCAGGCTTTGTAATGTGCTGGCAGTCTGACTCATTCTGTGTACTGCATTCCACCTCTCTCCAAAAGGCTCCCCCACCGCAGGTGGTGGAACACTGTAAAAACAGCAGAGGGGAAAAAAAAGAAGACAGTCCGGATTTTCTTATCTTAATTGCAATGCCAGGATAGACTCTTGAGATGCATCTCAACAGCCTTATTTGTAACTCCAGGGAGCAGAGAGTACATGGAAGAAGATCATGTATCCTATGACTGATATGAAGCATCACATTTAATGCAGACACAAATTAACAGAAAACCAGAGTATCTGAGAACGGCAAAGGGCCAAACTGTCTTCCCTTCATTAGCATGTTGCGTGCAGTCTTTTGTGAACTTTGTGACATTTAAAGAGTAAAACATTTTTGCAAACAAAACTTTTCCTCCAAATGTACCTCTTCAGTTGCTTTTCTCTACTCCAAATCCTGACACCTCAGGAAGATAATGTTGTACTCGCCTTGTATTCCTAATATTCCTAGTAAATATGCTTTGTTCACCTAGTATTCAGTACTTTTTCAAATCTGAAAGGTCTTTCCCGTTATTTATAATTCCTCTGGTCAACTTCCCCCATTTCCAATTAGCCTGAAGACCAAACTTGTTGAAGTTGTTTCAAAGAGAAAGAATCTCCTCATGTGAATAAGATTTGTGTAGGAATATACATCCCATTTAGTACAGTATAGAAATGAGGAGTCCTCCATTGTTAGACTTCCAAGCCCCATCACTCCCGGCCAGTATGATAGGAGCTGAAGTCCAACAACATTTGGAAGGGCAAATATTCACAACATTTGATGCACTAGGCTCTTTACATGTCTGTTTTGGTGGGTGTACACATACTACAAAATGAAATGCATAAATAAAATGCATCAGCATCAAAAAACTGGCTAAGACTATATGGGAATATTAACTTTATTCCTGCAGGGTTAGGCAAGAGATCACAGCTCAGTGGCAAAACATATACTTTGAACGTATGAAGTCCTATGTTCTTTCCTAGAATCTCTGTTATAAGGAGATGCTCAACAAGTAAACTGAAGAAATGTATACCCCAAAACAAAACAAAACAAAAAACAAACACAAAAACCTGTGAATGGAGAGGATTCAACTTACTTCCCCTCTTTCATATTTTTTCAAAGTAATGCATAAGTTGAGACACAATGATTCTTCCAAGGTTCGTACTTCCCAGCCTTTGCAACAGCATCCAATCGTGTTAGGATCTCTACTGACGCAAGCCAAACTAATGCATAAGCTGAGACACAATGATTCTTCCAAGGTTCATACTTCCCAGCTTTTGCAACAGATCGAATCGTGTTAGGATCTCTACTGACGCAAGCATAACACAGTACAGGCATGGCATGTTTTTAAAGTGCAAAAAATGTTTTACATATACTTTCTATGTAATCACCTTAAGATCGATGCAAGATAGGCCTGTATCATTACCTTTATGTTATGGAAGAAGAGTTTAGGGTTGAGAAAGACTACACCTTCACCAAGCACTCTTGGTAATGCCATGGGTTAGGTTTTAAAACAAAGACCTCCCTAGCCTGAAGCTTAGTACTCGCTCCACAAGAGAGTGACTACATCGGAGAGCTGAATCAGAATGATTTGGCTTGGGTTTGGTTTGATTCAAAGCCCGTGTTATGTTTTTGATTGCAGCCAGCATTTGTGCAGAGACTGTGAAAGGTTCTGGGAGTTCACCATTTGCACTGGATGCGATGCAAGTCACATTCCAGCCCATAGCATCCCCCTTCGTTCCTGCCAATCCTTTTATGGCAATCAAAACTAAAAAAGAAACCCCTTCCCGGTCATATTGAAATCTGCATGCCCGCACACACACACACAATGGGATCCCTCCTCCTCTCTTTCTCTTCATCTGAACTTCTGCAGAAAGTTCAGTCCTGTTTTCCCTCCTCTCCTTCTGGGCTCTGGCAGAGAGAAAACAGGCATGACTTTGAAATGCACAATCACAGTATTGGGATTCCTTCCTTCACCTCTTCCCTTGGATTTTTCTGGCAAAAGCTCTTTCCGATTTAGTGTTTCATGACCTCCCTCTCCCCTTCTTCCTCTTCCTTCTGCCAATTCACTTCTTTGCTTAATGAACCCTGCTCTGCTCCCTTTCACACGCACTCCCTCAGACAGAAACACAAACACGGACTATTCACACATATACATGCTGGCAAGAAGTCATCTGACACCTTCCCGCAGCCCCCCCATGTGACAATAGTGGTAAGGGCACTAAGTGCTGCAAGGACTTCTTTTATCTCTCCCTCCCCCCCCAAACAGCTTTTCCCACTCTCTGTCTTTGCCTCCCTCTCACTCCTTCTCCCTCTCTACTCCAGCTGGCGCTTATGCTTCCACCCTTCCTTCCTCCTCTACAGATATACACACCCTGTCCTAACCAAAACAAAAAACAAAAAAACAACAAAAAAAAAACCCTTTTGAATCCTTCCAGCAATAAAAAAGTAGAAGCCCTCAGGTGGGAGGGGAAAAGCTGCCTTGTGAGCAAAAAGCCCTGATCCAGCCTTTGCATCACACACACCAAATTCACTTATTTTTTAGGTGGAGCAAGTCCCGGGGTATTCAAAATCAGGCTTTAGGTGCCATTTCTGGGCTCAATTAACCTATAAAGCTCTAAATGCTTGGCTCCAAGCTGTCTCCCTTTATAAGCCTGCAAGTGTTAAGATTAACAGTGAGGGCCTTTCCCTTCAGTCCCACGGCCCTCAGAGGAGCACTTGGTGGGGACATGGGAGAGGGGCTTCTCCAGCGCTGCTCCCAGACTCTGGAGCTCCCTCCAATGAGAAGCTAGGCAGGCCCCATCTTTGCTGTCCTTCAGCAAGCAGGCAGCGACCATTCTCTTGAGGCAGGTTTTAATTTGAACAGCTGGTGCACCAAGGGGATTTTTAAAACAGATTTTTCCCATTGTTTTACTTGTGCTTTTAATATTGCATTTTAAATATATCTGTTTAATGTATTTTTCATATTGTAAAAATTATTATTTAGCTTTTTAAATACCATAAGCTACCTTGAGTACATGAGGTGAAAAATGGCATATAGATATTTTGAACGAACAAATAACTAAATACAATTATGCCAGATACTTGTGACTGTGGCATGCGACTAACAGCTGGTGTGCTGTTCCCTACACAGAATAGCCACCTCAGTATCTTTGTATTGTCTGTATCCGGTCAATGGCAGGTCAGTATGAATAATGCTAATTGCTGTTGCAAAATATTTGACCCACAGTTAGCAGACCTGCAGTTTAGCTAACTCTAATATGGATGTTTGGAGATGAGAAGACAGTATATGATTTTAGAGGCAGATGATATGGAAGCTTTGTAGGGGAGGAGGGATCCAACTAACCTCTCCCATCAATATATCCTCTGCAGAAGGAGAAAGGTGATTCTTTCCTTCTCTCTAGCCCCCTGTTTACTCTCAGATCTGCAGTGGGAGAAATCGGTTTGGAGGAATCTCCCAAAGCAGATTGGCACAGCATTTCCAAGAGAGAAGGAGAGGTCTCATTTTAAGAGCAGATGTCTCATTATTCAGCACAGCATTTACCCTTCATCCCCCTTAAATCTTACCTTGCAAATCTCCACCTACATCCATACAAAACTGAAAACCTTTCACTCATGCAAAGAATACAATAGGAGCATTCTCGTTCCTGACAAATTTTGCTTGCTCTGTGAGATATTTTTATTTTTTGCTTGAAAAAGACTTCAAATGCTGTGGCTAAGCGAAATTTATTTCCTTTTCTTTTTGCTCCAGCTAAATGAAAATTCCTTAAAATCAAGCTTGAAGCCCTTGATAGTTAACTAATCTGGTACTATTTCTGCACTAAGTGGTTTTAAAAGGGATGGAATGCCATGCATTTAATCTTAACAAGCGCTGTGGATAAGTCTGACCTGCTTCCCCTTCACTGAAAATGGGAACTCCTTAAGAGACAGCAACAGCTGTACAGAATCATTCCATTACTCTCCAAGTCTCTCTGGTACGCTCTGCTCATTGTCTTGACAATTGCATGATGAACTGCAAAGCGGGAGAACATCAGTTTCTTCCCTAACTGCTTTCAGAAGCTGTTCTGAATTTCTCATTGAGCAGCCCCTCAAGAGTTCCCCAAGTGAAATATCGCTCGGTGTGCTAAGAAGCATCTCTCAGCCATTTCACATGGAGTGAAAATGAACGGTTCCTGCGACTTCCCTTTTATAGTTTGTTTCCAAAATTAGGAAGATGGGTTACTTCTGAGATTTGAGCAGCAGAGCCAAAATATCTAAGAGAACGTTCCTGAAATTTTTGTTTCTCACCCACATTCCCCACCCCAATGAATAAGGACGCTTGGCAGAACTAGCTATGAATATTCTCTACCCTGTTTTACGAGGAGTGGCCATTTTCTCCTCATATTGTCCTGGAATAATGGCAGGCATTGTGGAGAAAACGGTAAGTATGATGCTCCCTCCAGAACAAGGGCAACAAAAGAAGGGGGCCAAAAAGCAAGCAAGCAGTTGGGCTACTGTAACCTCAAAGAGTGAGCCCATGGCAGAGAACATGTTTAGCCATCTCCCCAGTTTTTCCTTTCTGAGCAGTGATACATTTCCCCAGTTTCTCTCTCCCACAAATAGGGTGGAGCATTTCAAGAAGTTCTTTGCACACAGCTCTAGTTTTATACATCACCACCACAACGCAACTTCTTCATTTATGAGGACTAGAGACGAAGGTATTCATATACGAATATCCCCACAGAAGTGGAAATAACTCACGATTTCGATGCTGCCACTGGCTCCGCAGAGGCTTCCTACTGCGCCATTCTCCGCAATGGGTTAGCCACTCTTCGACCTAGCAGAGAGGTTTGTTTTCCCACCTCCTGCCAGGACTGGGTAATTGATTGCGGACAACGGTGCAATAGGACGATCCGATGAGCTCGCATCAGCGGCGAACTTGTGAGTGGACAGTCCCTCACGATTTCAATGCTGCCACTGACTCCGCAGAGGCTTCCTATTGCGCCATTCTCCGCAATGGGTTAGCCACTCTTCGACCTAGCAGAGAGGTTTGTTTTCCCACCTCCTGCCAGGACTGGGTAATTGATTGCGGACAACGGTGCAATAGGACGATCCGATGAGCTCGCATCAGCGGCGAACTTGTGAGTGGACAGTCCCTCATTATTTCCATCTGTGCGAATATATACAAATACCCCCATCTCTAATGAGGACAGATAAAAGGAAGTACTTCACAGAGTGCAGCAGAGTTAAACTCCGAAATTCGCTAGCAAAAGGTGTAGTGATAACCACTGTGGTAGATGGCTTGGAAAGAGGATCGGACAAATTGATAGAGGATCATGCTACGGGTGGCTAGATATGACATTCCAACATCAAGAGAAAATATAATCACAGTCATAACTGCAGAACAGCAGAGCTGGAAGAGACTCTATGGATCACTGAGTCCAGCCTCTGTTCCGCTACTCAAGTCTCGGAAATTCTGTGGTAACTAGATACAAGGTTTTCATTTGCCTTTGAATGCCAAATGTTTTTATGATATATCTGGAATTCTGGAAATTTGTAAAGGTATATTTCTTTTCTGTATGGTTTGTCTAAGGACCATAGCAATAAACTGACCGACTGGGCCCCTGGCAAGGAGGCACAATGGAGAAGCAAACTCCCAACCTCTGGCTCCGTAGTCAGATACCTAAACCATTGAGTTTTGTAAACAAGTTTCTGGGGAACATGATTGGGGAGGTACAATTGTGCCTAACTCCTCTCTGTAGGCTTTCCAGAGGCATCTGAATGCCCACTAGGGCAACAGAATGCTGGACCAGCGTGGCCACTGGTCAGATCCAGCAGGTTCTTATCCTAGAATTACTGCAGGGACAGGGGACCAGGGCATGGTGTGCAATCCACACTAATCTACCACATTTCGATGGGAGTCTGGTCCTATACTCAGTAATGAAGTAAGAGGCAACTGTCAGTCCGGTTGATGACTATACTTGGAAACAGAAAAAGCAACATCTTTCAAGGAATATCTATCTGCTTCCAAAGTCCAGAGCTTGAAAGGAGTAAACTGGACAACCATCGCTTTGATTTGGATTCCTGCCTTGAGCAGGGGGTTGGACTTGATGGCCTTATAGGCCCCTTCCAACTCAATTATTCTATGATTGTTCTATATCATTATTTTGGGAGCATAATGGAAGTGGGGCCCTTTTAGCAACTTCAGTCTCTTAATATTTAGTCATATCATGTAGCAATTCTCTTAAAATTAATGTAACAACTGCGTTTTATGGAGTGTTATCATTTTAACATGTTTAACACTGTGACATTAACAAACTAATTTTCTTCAACAATTTAACACAAGATGTTAATACAGTTAGCACGATACACTAACATTTTAAAGCTCCCAGCATGATCCACCTAAACAGTTTTAACTCTCCTAATTGCTATAGCGTGACAGACGTCTTCTGTACTTTCGGGATGTTCTGCTGTAATCAACAAAAAGTAATTACTTTGTTCCTTGGAATTTAATAGCTATCATAAAATTATGGCCTCCTGACATTTTTATCGTTGAATGCAGCTGTAATTATAGCCTCTATGAAGAAGGATAAAATGGATCTGGAGAAGCTTAGAAGTTAACAAAAATAATTAGGAATGCTAAAAGGCTGGTTTGCAGGGTGATGCACACACAGAAAATAGTTTTTGTTAGGAATGCAGTGAAAGACTCTGTTTAGAGGTCATAATGGTAAAAGTGATGTGAATACCATAGAGAGTGACTTGGATTACCATGATCAGAAAGTAACAGCCATGCTCACCTTACTCCAATTTCCAACTATCCAGTAAACATCAGCATGGAAACTGATGGACTCACTTGGGTGTTCTGGGTCAGAATTGTTTGATAACATTCTCTTGAAATCTTTGTCCTGGTTCTCTGGCATATTGGCGTTCTGAAGAAATGGACTTTCTGTGGGCTGAGTGGATGTTTCTTTGGCAGACGGCTTAGATATTGTTTTATTTTCTGACTCATTTCCTGTTATATCATCTAACCATGCTGGTTGATCTATATATGGATCTGCTGTTACAGGTGTATTTATTTGTACATCAAGGTCTATGGGAGCTACAGTTGTCAACAAAACATCAATCTCTGGTAGTGGAGTAACAGACGCCAGGCTAAAACTATCAGGATGATATTCTTTTGATGAAATTTCTGAAGTCTTGCCATGGACAGTAGTAATAGATTGTCCCATTTCCCATTCACTCAGGATCTCTTTATGTTTTGTTACAACACCAGTATGATTAGGCCCTGCCTCAGGGACTTCAGTTGAATGATGATACATAGGAGTTATAACTCGAGACATGGGATCAGTGGTAAGAGAATTCTTGTTTACAGAGTCACCTTCTGAAGAATTGCATGGTTTTATGACAGAGATATTCCCTATATGTGTAACATTTGTCAGATTCAAATTATTTGTAATAGGTCTCCAAGTGCTAATTTTCAGTGAACTGTTCTCACTAAAAATGGTGGAATAATTATTGCTAATACTTGAAACACTGGAATTACTTTGTAAAATCTTTATTTCCAAGTCTTCTTGTGGAGAAGAATTCATAAGGCCAAACAAAGTGGGTGTTGAAGTAACATTTATAGGCTCAGGTGTTGTTATTGTTGTTGTCATCATTGTTGTTGTTATCATTGTTGTTGTTGTTGTCATTGTCGTCATTATAGTTGTTTTTATTGCTGAGATTGTTGGCCTGGGTTTTCGGGTGGGTAATGTGTTTGAAGGTCCACTTCTGGGATTGGATCCCATTCTCCAGATTATCTTTCCACCATGAAGTTTGTAAAAGGGTATCAGTGGTCTTCTGGTGGATGGACATTGCTGGAGACCACACAAAGCTTTGGAATGAGGTTTCTTTGAAATATCACATGGTTCTCCATTGTTTTTGGGACAGGTGATGTTACGAGTCCGTACTCCTCCACCACAGGTAACTGTACACTGCAAGATAAACAACAGTCATTCGCATATTTTATCAGTTTTTTTCCTTCATTTAACAATTTTGTGCTGATGCGAAACCTGTATGGGGCCACCCTGTGTTAGCCATCAGAACTCTATCTGGAAATGTTTTCTGGACTGGTTTCATCTGCCCAGGAAAGTAATCAAAGCCTTCGAGAAAGGAAGTGCTAGAAAGGTTTCACATTTGGATCTGAACCTTTCTCAAATTTCATTAAAAAGGCCCTTGGAACTTCTTAATGAGAACCAGAATTTGGAAAAGTTACATTTTTGGGCTGCAACATCCAGAATCCCCAGCTACGCGAGAGATTTTGGTGTTGCTGCTAAACCAAGCTGTGAATGAGATATCTCGTTTCACATCAATCGTCTTGAACTATGCTCAACTCTTTGATACAAATCCACTCTCAAGAGCTAACTGATCACATGCCAAAACAAGACATGCTTTTAATCATATATGGCTGGGACACAAACGAACAAAGCAGAACCAAATGCTGTTGGAAAATTTGGCCTAGGGGACAGAAATGAAGCAGGAAAATGATTTGTAGAGTTCTGCAAATCCAACAATATTGCAATATTGCAATGCATGCTTCACAGTACCAAACAGATGGCTATACAAATGGACATTACCAGATGGTCAATATACAAATCAAATAAACAAAGTAATTGGAAGCAGAAGATGGAAAAGCAATACTCTCTCTGCCAAAACAAGACCAAGAACAAATTATGTTAATATCAAATATTAGAATAAAGTTTAAAAAGAACACTAAAAATTGTAGTGTCAAAATATAATGCAATTAACATTCCTGATGCTCTTAAAGTCCACATAAAGAAAAGATTTGCATTACCAACTCATTTGACCATAAGCCAGAAGAACTGTGCCATAAAAGCAGAGCTATTAGGGAAGAATGCAAAAAGTCAAATAAAAGAAAAACTTAGATGGATAACAGAAGAAACACTTAGATTTTTAAAGGTCCGGAGAGAAGTGAAGCAAAAGGTGACTGAAATACAGTAAGGCTAAAACTATGAATTCAGTTTTTTAGTGACTGTCATGTAGAGAAAAAGATAACTATTACCACAACCAGTGCAAAGAAATAAAGGAGAACAACCAAAGGGAAAAAACTTGCAGTTCCAGAAAATGGTGAAAGCTGCTCTGGAAGCACTATCAAGAAATATATCATCAAGGTAGATGGAATACCAATAGAACTATTTCAAGCCATAGAGTCCAAATCTGTGAAAACCCTAACAAGCATATGCCAACAAACATGGAAAACAAAGCCATGGCTCACAAATTGGAGGCAACATTCAGTATGCATTCCCAAGAAAGGAGATGCCAAAGAGTGCAATAACTATAGGACCCTTCCTCTGATTTCCCATGCAAGCAAAGTGATGCTCAAGGTGTTGCAACATAGGCTTTTACTGTATATGGAACAAGAAATGCCTGACGTTCAAGCTGGATTCCAAAAAGGAAAAGGCACTCAAGATCATATTGCAAGTATCTGCTGGCTATTGGAATGCACCAAAGAATTTCAGAAGATCAGTCTATGCTTTATATGTTATAGCAAAGCCTTTGATGGTGTGGATTATGAGAAACGATGGTGTGTTCTGAAAGAAATGGATGCATAACTTGTATTGTGGACAAGAAGCTATTAATAGGACAGAATATGAAGAGACAAAATGCTTTCCTACAGGCAGAAATGTCAGAAATTGGTGCATTTTATCCCCTTATCTGTTCAATCTAGACACAGAACATATCATACAAAGCAGACAGAGGAGTGAAAATTGGTGGAAAAAAATCAATATATTAAGATATGCAGATAACAATATCTTACCGGCAGAAAGCAGTAGTGACTTGAAACAACTTCTGATGAAAGTGAAAGAAAAAACTGCCAAAGCAGGAATGCAGTTGAACATTAAGAAGACCAAAATCATGTCCACAGAACTACACAACTTTAACGGTGACAATGAAGAAACTGAAATAGTGAAAAATTTTGTACACCTTGGTTCAATCATCTGTTCAATGGACACTGTAGCCTAGAAATCAGAAGACTGAGACTCAGAAGAGCAGCAAAGAAGGAGTTAGAGAAAATCATAAATTGTAAGCATTTATCACAGGTGACCAAGGCTAAGATCATCCACACTTTTGTATTTCTGATCATCATGTATGGATATGAAAGCTGGACAGTTAAGAAAGCTGACAGTAAAAAAAAATTGGTTCATTTGAAATGTGGTGCTGGAGGAGAGTTTACAGATACCCTGGACTTCCAGAAATAGGAAGAAGTGAGTCTTAAACCAAATTAAGCCAGAACTATCACTGAAACAAAAATGTTGAAGCTTGGCTGCCCTACTTTAGGTGCATCATGAGAAGGAAAGATTCTCTGGAAAAGATAATAATACTGGGAAAGATGGAAGGCAACAGGACAAATATGAGATGGGTCAACTTCCTAAAGAAACCACAAGCTTGAATTTGCAAGAGCAGGGACAGGACATATTGGAGATCACTAATTCATATGGTCACCGTAAGTCATAGGCAACATGATGGCACATAACAACAACAGCAACTTAATTCGGAAATTTAAAAAAACACATGTAATTTCAAATTATTTTAATTAGTCAGTATCCATCGTAATCTCTGAATGCCTCTATGCTCTTTCCCGTCACCATGTTATGATAACTACCACCTCTTAGCAGACATCAAACAATCACATCACATCTGGAACAGCTTCACAGGAAACTGTTTGTGGCTCTGCTGAAAGCAGTGTCATTCATTTGGATGCTATGCTTCATCTACAATAATAGCTGAAATCAACCTTTAATTCAATTACCGTCAGCATCACATTTTCATTTGTACAGAAATTAGAAGGGAAGTGGCCGTTGAAAGGAACTCGCACAAGGGTCCACAGAGGAATTCTGATGCAGCGAACGGCTTCAAAGTAGTAATGGGTAGAAACTTTGAAGGCACATAAAAATGAAACTGGTGGTGTGAACTCACCTCAGTCCAGTTGCTTACTGACCAATCAGATGGGCAAAGGATATCTCTGTTGCAGGAGAGGCGAGCCTTTGGTTTCAGCAGATGCTGGCATTCCTCAGCAGGCAAAGCTTGCTCATCAAATCCCGCAGCCTGAATGCAAAGGACGGTTCGCTTCTTCTCTCCGGTTGGACCACAAGTGGTTGAACATTTCTGCCATTCTCCTGCCCACCATCTGTGGATCAAGGCAAAAGGAGAATGGGGAATTATGAAAGGAAATGCACGCCTAGTCCAGTGTCTGGTAATGCTATTTCAGGGACAACAGCTCCCATAATCCTCTCCCAGCAGAGGCCTTGGATGTGCTGGTTGAAGGATACTGGCCATTGTAGTCTGAAAAGTAGCCTTTTCCAAGCTCTGAGTACATCAGAGGATGAACACTTGCAATCCGAAGGAAAACCTTGAGAAAATAATGCTGAAATATTATTGTTCCAGGCAAAGACTTGATTTTTAAATTTTCTCAGTGATAGGTATTAATGGTAGGTATTAAGACAACACTTTCCCTCATTCCCATTGATCTATGGGAAATGGATGAAGGTAATGCCGGCTCTTCAATTGGCAAAGCTGTGTTTGTCTTCATAACTGTCATCCATAGATTATTACTCTACCCATTTTACAGATGTGAAACTGAAGATGCATTTAGAGGTATGACATTTAGAACAGCCCATGGCACAGGTGAACGGACCCCAACTAAAATATCCTGTGAAGATAGCTGTCCCCTCTCTTCATGTTTTCTTTAGTTACAAAATTTAAGCCAGGGTGCCTAACTCTTGGGCTGCAACTCCCATCGTCCTTCTCCTTGAGTCATGCTGGCTGGGGCTGATGGGAATTGCACCTGAAACATCTGAAGGGCAGCAGAAATTTTCTAAACTCAAGAATCACACTGAATGGAGAGAGGTGTAGTTATCTTATACATACACTTTGTTCCTCTCGGTGGGGGGGCTGTTGCCATTTCTATCCAATACAGAATACCTCTGGTTCAAGTGTAAAGATGGAAATCAGCTAAATGGAAGCCATTCTGACACCAGCGATCAACATAAGTGCCCACGATTTTGCTCCTGTATCTCAAGCAGGAAATTATATCCTTGTTTTAACCTAGCTGATTCTTAATTATGAAATGCCTGGAAAGTTCATCAGTGAACTGCTACAAAGCAATGAGAAGACTACTAAGATAGGTTTCTTCATCATGATCTGAGGAACAAACTTATTAGAACAAAAGACTAATCCATACAACAGGCATTGGCAAGAATAACAGAATAATGAACTTGGAAGGGGCCTGTGGAGGTATTGTTCTCCCTTCTAGTCTTTTCCAGTTCACTATTTGGATCGCTGTTCTCAAGTACTTCCTTTCTGAGGTTAGTTTCTGATTTTTCTTTCTTTTTTCATGGTCGACACAGTATCAGATAATGGTAGCCAGGAAACTTGTATACATTGAACCTGGCTGTGTTGATTTCTCTAACTGACTTAAGGTTCTTTATGGTATTCATACATGAATTTCATCACTATTCTTCCTGAACAATGAGCTTTCCCTCCCCCCCCCCATTCTTCCCCTTACAGCAGACTTCCCAATTACATATTCTTGGCTAAAATCTTCTTGCGTTGCTATACAAGTGGCATAACTCTGGCACAGATATTATTTTTTTATTTATTTATTTTATTTATATCCCGCCTATCTGGTCGGGTCAGGACCATTCTATTATCAGTTGCATGCTGAGTCACACCACTCAGTATGCGTCTGATAATGCCCACGACTATGTTTTAACTCAGAGCAATTCACTTCCAAAAATTATGTGCTATCCCAGTGTAAGTAGGTAAGAGGATTTGGGCCACTGAACCCAAGCACTCTTCCCTTATTCTACTATCAGTGTTCTGAGGATGGAGAAAAAATTAGGGCCACCCCCTCTATCACAACACATAGGAAGCTACCAGAGATAGATCTCTTCTCGTCTGTGGACTTCCTACTCTGCATCAGAGAAGGAATTACACTATATTCTACAGCCACAGCTTGGAAATACTACTTTTATGAGGCAGGCATGCTGGCTGATGGCTTTCAGGAGTTATAGCCAAAAGGGTAAGTTTTCTAGAAAGCCCTCTCCCCCAAAGACCACTAGGCTGGTAACCCAAATTATTTAAGTTAATTAATCTAACTAATTGATTAAATAAAGATGTGCAACTAAGATACCTATTTAACGCTTTGTATCTGTTTTGCACTTCTTACAATAAAGCTCTCTAGTTACAGACTTAGGAGAATACATTTTAAAAAATATGACTGTCTAATTAGAAGTAAAGATTCATTTCTGTATGACAGACGGTGCATGATGACAAAATGAACGTGGTCCCTTTGCACACTTCTTTAATTACTGCAGGCGACACCTTTGACATTTTCTAGGATTTCTGCATAATCCTCTTCCATATATTAATGCCGACTTGGTTAAGCCTTCTAATCCACATGGAAAGCTGGTCTTGCCAATTACCTGCCTGGTGGATATTACCTCCCTCACAGAAAAAACAGAGCCTCTTCTGGCCTTCCTCCCAAATCTTAAAATCTGCCAATTTATTCAAAAGCAAATAGATCCACCCAGCAGAAATTATGTACTGTAGCTTACTGATCTGCACAACATATTATACCGCTAAATATCAAAGCACAACAAAAAAGAGAAAATGTATTTGGTAATATATTGACAAACAAGGTGGTATCAGGTTAAATGGTGTTTTCTGGCAATCAATCTTTCTCATTACCTTTGTTCTGTTATCCTCTCCTGTCTGCAACCCGTCCAGAGCTCTCTAGTGCTGCTCAGCATACTAAGGGGAATGTATCAATTATAAGAAGGCCAATTGCTTGGCCAAGTAGGGTTTTTTTTTGAAAGGTCATCTGCAGACAATTGTCCATTTGAAGGCATCCTCTGTATGAAGAACGGTCTAATCCAAGTTCTGCTTTAAGGCAACCCTTTAAGGGACGCCAGCAGCTGCCTTGAAGCTGCCCATTTTTTAAAAAAGCTTCTTACTCACAGCAGGATCCAGATCACCTTGTCTAAGTCTTCTTCCCCACTAGGGTGAAATATATTGTTATTTTTATTTAAATTACATGGTGCAAGCAGGACATTGGCTTATTGAAGAAACCAGTCTCTAAACCATGCAGACTTTGACTGTTTAATCAATGTCTTTACAGCAGAAAAGGCAAGGATGGTTCAAATCTAAGGCAAAGAGCATGTTCTTCTTTTCTCTTGGTGCCAACCCAGCATCTTTCTATTTCTCTCTTGCAATCCCATCATATCTTTCTTCTTTTAATATTTGTAACCTCATGAATGGAGGATTTAATGAAACAGATCTATAGGGGCTGCTACTCCACCCATTGAGTGCCTACAATTTGGTATGTTTTTCCGTATTTCTACTCAATGGCCTTATAGGCCCCTTCCAACTTCATGATTCTATGATTTGTCCAAAGACACTGCATGACCCTGCTCTACATATGCAAATTGCTACTTGCATGTACAGTACCTAAATTTTAATACTTTTTGTGCTACCTGAACATTTCCTTTTGGAGGAGAAAAGATGCATTAAATAATCAGGCACTATTACAATGTCCATTCATTTTAATGGTGTCTGTACTAGACCTTAAAAGTAATCAGTTAGGACTAACTACTTATTTGTAATTAATTCTTTTTTTAAAAAAATAAGAAGGGTACAATTTAGTTACATTAGAATTTAAAAGTAACAAAGGAAAACTTCACTTCCTTTGTGGTGTAACCACACTTTTGGAATTATATCATAAGCAATAACATCTATAGGTCTGGGACCACATATCCTTTTCCAACTTCGTCTATTATCTGTGTCCTCACCGCCGCCTCCCCAGAAAAAAATACTTAGGAATTATATTTACACTCTCCATGTCTGAAGAAATGAGCATGCAACAGAATACATTTTTAATTGTACAAAGTGTAAATAAACGAATGTCCCTGATTTCATCTTATCTGTATGCTGGTCAATACCCTAAAGGGATTTCAACAGGTTGGCAAGCCTTGTCTGCCCCTTGCTTCTGGGAACTGCAGTCCAAGAACATCTGGGGACCCCAGTTTGAGAACCACTGCTCTAGAACACAGTTTTTACTTCCTTCTGATCTATGTAAGGAATGCCTCTGAGACACTGGATTACGGTCAGATTTTACAAAGGCTGTTCATGATCAAATCATCTTATATTAAGCCAGCTGGCTTCCCAGTAATTGGCACTGAATAATCATTGCATTGTGTAGTTCATATACTTTAAAAAGCTAGTAACATGGGATGTAATGATATGCCAAAGACATTTCCCCACTGAGATGTTGCTGTTATACATATTCATGAAGGTGGCGGAATAAATAGTAAACTTCTAACAGATGTTCAGTGTTTACTGTGTAAAAAAAAACCCCAAAAAAACAAAAACAAAAACAGAGTTTGCCAGAAAATGACTTCCTGATAAAGGCAAGGCAAAGTTGATGTGGGAATCATTCTCAGCCAAAGAAATCACTTCTAGACTTTTGTAAACTAAGGTAAAAGTCATTCCACCCACTAGTAAAAGTGAATGTTTAGATCCTTGATTGTTTCAAGCTGGAATCTTGTACTTACTTATCTGAGAGTGCTCCGTGACCTCAGTGGGATTTACTCTGGAATTGATATGTATAGGTTTACACTTTCAAAGGACTTATATTTTTTAGTTTTTGGACTACAACTCCTAGAATTCCTAGAAAGCATGGCTTTTATGCCTATGGCCATGTTGACGGCAGATTCTGGGAGCTGTATGTAGTCCAAAAAAAAGTAACATTTCCGACCGCTACACTTCCAGTGTATCACTAAATGTAATGCAGTCCAAACTGGCTCTAATGAAAAAGATATCCCTTGATGTTTTCATCACTCCTTTTTAAAATTGGTGAAAGGGTGTGCAAGGTCATAATAACTATTGCTTTGTTGAATAGATTTTAGAGGATATTTGCATCTTTTTTTAAACAGTCAGCTAAATATCCTTTGCTTGCTGTGTGTGTGCTTTATTTCTCAAAGGGGGAAGAGATGTTGGTTGTGAAGCGACGACTGAACATCTCAACAATTAAAAAAATAGCACTGTGTGTCTTACTCTTTTTGGGAGATGAGTAAAGTTCCCTGAACACCCCGATAAAGCACTCTGTAAACATTTGTAAATTTCTATGAATGATGGATGCTATTGCACAATAGAAGACACATATGGAAGTCCCTCTGGTGAAAGATGACATGTGTATGTTCGTTGACCACTGGGACACTATAACAAAGCATTGATAATTATTAGTGCCTGCATAATTTTCCCCCCTTGAATGTCCAAGGTGCTAGCTCAGAAAGCCTCACAACAATCCTCTGAGGGAGGCCACATTGCAGAGGTGGTGATGAAGCCACAAGACAGTGGCTTGACTCAGAAAACTGGGCACCCCTGTGCGTCTGAACTTGGAAAAGTTGCTTTTCTAGAATCAGAGCCCCCAGAATTTCCCAGCCAACAGCCACATTGGATAGGGGATTCTGGGATTTTTAATCCAAAAAAGGAACTTTCTCAAGCTTAGCCTGGAGCTGGAACAAGAATGGGATAGAGGCACAGACTAAAAATGAATTATCTTCTCTTACACTGCCACTTTCATATTATTATTGTTAAATTTTAATGCTATTTTAATCAGTTTTTGTTTTAATTCATCTAATTTATTTTGTTTGCAGTTTTTTATGGCTTATGGCTACAGATTTCTTCCTGCAGTTATCCTTTATCTGAAATCTGGTAGTCAGTTGCAACTGGCATAGACCCTCTGAATCAGTGAGCATTTGGTGAGTCTACCTTGGTGGGCAGTCTTTTTCAATGCATTTCTTTTGCTTTCCCTTTGGTTGATTTTCTGGATCACAAAAGAGGTTTTTCACCACACCTTTCCCCTTTTTCATACAACGGGCAATTTGTCGTTGGAACCCTACAAAAAAGAGAGAGAGAGAACAGGACAATGCTGCAATGCAAAGCTTTTAGAAAACGGACATTATTCATAGTGAAGGTAAAGATAAAGGTAAAGGTTCCCCTTGACAATTTGTCCAGTCACGTCCGACTCTAGGCTGCAGTGCTCATCTCCGTTTCCTGATTTTCTGGATCACAAAAGAGGTTTTTCACCACACCTTTCCCCTTTTTCATACAACGGGCAATTTGTCGTTGGAACCCTACAAAAAAAGAGAGAGAGAGAGCAGGACAATGGTGCAATGCATAGCTTTTAGAAAACTGACATTTTTCATAGTGAAGGTAAAGGTTCCCCTTGACAACTTGTCCAGTCGTGTCCGACTCTAGGCTTCAGTGCTCATCTCTGTTTCCAACCCATAGAGCTAGCGTTTTGTCTGAAGACAATATTCCGTGGTCACGTGGCCAGCGCGACTGGTGGGAAGCACCGTTACCTTCCCACCATGGTGGCACCTATTTATCTACTCACATTTTGCATGCTTTTGAACTACTAGGTTGGGTGGGAGCTGGGACAAGCGGTGGGGCTCACTCCGTCACGTGGATTTGATCTTACGACTGCAGGTCTTCTGACCTTGCAGCACAGAGGCTTCTGTGGTTTAATCTGCAGCGCCACCACGTCCCTTCTTTCATAGTGAAAGTAACTGTTAAACCCAGGCCTTGCACGAGGGGCAAGATCTTGGGTAGCAGTCAACACCCAGGTCCTCCTGCAAGTCACCTGTCCTCCTTGCCATTGATTCAAAATGTATCATGCAGCTACAGTACTTAGATCCAAAATACCTCTGAGAGCTTGAGAGCAAGTGGCTGTTGTCAAAATGTACTATTTTAATTCCATAATTCAACCCTCCAAAGTGATGCTACATTTTAATTCACCCAATGACATTCTCGAAAACCTAAAATGGTAGATAGCAATAGGAATGCTCATTTTATTTTGTTTTTGCCCTATCCATCTTCTAGCAACATGGATAGGGCAATGAATGCCACTGCCAAGAAGCTTACCCAGGTTGATGCATGGCTACTAAGGCCCACACAAATAGGATAAAGAGCCCACCAGCCTGGCACTGTCTCTGGATTGTATCTTAATAGCTGCAATGCATTGTCCTCTCTCAGTGCCTGAAGCTGTTCTCTTTTTTGGGGGGGCTGCCACTCTCAGAATACCTTGGCAAACATGTCATGAAGAGTGGCCGTAGCGGCTGGGAGAGTTACGGGAGTTGTAGTGGCAACAGATGACTCTGTCAAACTCTGTCTTCTTTGCACTCATTTGTCTATTTTAGAGTTTTGGTCTCCTGGCTAGAGGGATTAGACTTCCAAAGATGCTGACAGTAAAAGAGGATGAGAGAAAATGAAAGGTTTGAAAGATGAAAGAAAGAGCCCCTTTGACATGAATAAATGAAATTTATTCATGTTCCAGAAATCTTAGTATGGCTTCCCTGCCATGAGAAGACTCCAAAGACATTATTAGGGTCTAAGCCTACCAGCCACTCCACAGCAAAACAGCATGAAGGATTGATGGTAGCAATGTAACTCTCACAATCTTCCATTCTCAGAGAGAAAAGGGGTAGGAGCCCCCTTTCTCTCCATGATTTTTTTCTCGTTGAGAAATGTTGTGCTTATTTTCTTTTCTGGAAGGAATGCTAAACTGTGCATGACTATTACCATTCCTGCACAGGATTCATCCAAAGAGGGCAAGAAAAACTCAACAACGCACAGATTCCAATTCCTCTGCACAGTGTTATGTTTACTGCACAAGATTCACTGAAAAAGGGAACCAAGTCTGCCTAGGATTTGGCAATTTTCTGTGCAAAACAATAAAGAAGAAAGACTGTGTGTGTGTGTGTTTAGTCGTTTAGTCGTGTCCGACTCTTCGTGACCCCATGGACCAGAGCATGCCAGGCCCTCCTGTCTTCTACTGCCTCCCGGAGTAATTTGGCAATTTTCGTGCAAAACAATAAAGAAGAAAGACTAGGGTCTCATATTTGCAGGAAGCTACAGTGTCTCGCCTTACAAGATTTGGAAAATCATGGAGAAAGAGAATTTTTTTCAAGTGTTCTCATCACATCCCTAACGGAGGGCAGCAAACAGCATGCCAATATATCATCTTGACCTTTGGCCTACCAACATGTTGCTATGCTCTCAAGTCAGAACCCACATAGTGACCTAACATCAAGGTTTTTTCCAAGGACCCTTGGAGACTAGGGTCTCATATTTGCAGGAAGCTACAGCGTCTCGCCTTACAAGATTTGGAAAATCACAGAGAAAGAGAATTTTTTCAAGTGTTCTCATCACATCCCTAACGGAGGGCAGCAAACAGCATGCCAATATATCATCTTGACCTTTGGCCTACCAACATGTTGCTATGCTCTCAAGTCAGAACCCACATAGTGACCCTAAAAGGGCTTTCAAGGTAAGTGAGATATTTAAGGAGTGGCTTTACTAGTTCCACTCTCCCAGTGAGTTTCCATGGCTGAGCAGGGATTTGAATCTTATTCTCCAGAGGCCTAGTCCATCACTTAATTCACTACACCATACTTAGGCCAAAAAAGAGTTTCACACTGAAGCAACAGTTTGGTGACTTCCAGAAGGTCGGGAAAACTTCTTTTTTGGACCATATGTCCCATAATCCATCAGCCAGAATGACTAGTGGCATGTTGCAGGACTTCTTCAAGCTCTGCACTGGTGCTATAGAAGGCTTTATCTGCCAGTCCACCTGGTTTCTCCACGTGCAATGAAGAGGAGGCACCTTTTCCCCCTTTCCTCAGGCAGCAAAATGATGTGGACTAGCCCTGACCTTGAGGAACACCAAAATCTCTGTGCATGTTATGACACAGGCAAGCAGGTAATTGTTTATCCATTAATTTAAACAAAAGCAGAAAACCAGGGCTTATTTTAATTAGGCATTCAACCTAACATGTCATGAAGTAATTTCCTTTAGGATAGTTAAATAATTATCCTCATAAATGAGTAGAAATGTCTAGCATCAAGGAAGACTCGTGCGATTGTATCATCAATAAAAACGGGACCGAATAGCCCTTGTTACATTATCAGCAAGGAACCATCCTTGCAAATCTGTACAGATATGCCAGCCAGTATTCTGCTGGAAATCACAATGCCTTTTGCCCTCCAGGCAATTTCCAGTTTGTCAGTTATGCAAGCTGGAGATCATCACCCTGTCAAAGGGAATAGGGCTTTAGAGCTGCCCAAGGAGGTAACAGAGACCTCCTTGTGCAAGATTGGTAAATGTCCCACCACTTTCTCAACAGCCCACTGTATGAGCAGAACATGCAAAGAAGATACTGGCTGCCATGTCCATAATATACCAGATGGGCGAGATATAAATCAAATAAATAAATAGATAGATAGATAGATAGAAAGAAAGAAAGAAAGAAAGAAAGAAAGAAAGAAGCAAGCAGGTAATTGTTTATCCATTAATTTAAACAAAAGCAGAAAACCAGGGCTTATTTTAATTAGGCATTCAACCTAACATGTCATGAAGTAATTTCCTTTAGGATAGTTAAATAATTATCCTCATAAATGAGTAGAAATGTCTAGCATCAAGGAAGACTCGTGCGATTGTATCATCAATAAAAACGGGACCGAATAGCCCTTGTTACATTATCAGCAAGGATCCATCCTTGCAAATCTGTACAGATATGCCAGCCAGTATTCTGCTGGAAATCACAATGCCTTTTGCCCTCCAGGCAATTTCCAGTTTGTCAGTTATGCAAGCTGGAGATCATCACCCTGTCAAAGGGAATAGGGCTTTAGAGCTGCCCAAGGAGGTAACAGAGACCTCCTTGTGCAAGATTGGTAAATGTCCCACCACTTTCTCAACAGCCCACTGTATGAGCAGAACATGCAAAGAAGATACTGGCTGCCATGTCCATAGAAAGAAATATTCTCCCAACAGAAGGCGGTAGATCTTATATTTTACTTCCAGATAGTTCCAACTAGTTAGATACCTAGTTAGAACCTACCAGATGAAAGTTGATCAAAGCTCAACTGTAGCAGGTGGCAATATCAATGAGTGTATTTCAAGTCAATGTGAAAGGCGAGACAAGAGCGTAGAGGCTCTCGTTGGAGTGCCGTCCGTCCTTAGAGTATCTCAGGAGGTTTCAAACCATCCTGCTGTCACCTCCCAGTCAGAACCTACCAGATGAAAGTTGATCAAAGTTCAACTGTAGCAGGTGGTAATATCAATGAGTGTATTTCAAGTCAATGTGAAAGGCGAGACAAGAGCGTAGAGGCTCTCGTTGGAGTGCCGTCCGTCCTTAGAGTATCTCAGGAGGTTTCAAACCATCCTGCTGTCACCTCCCCGAGAGACCATCCATTGGGGAATTGACACCCGAGAACTGGAGGAGCGATTATTAAGACTAACAGTTGCCCCCAAACTGAATGGGAATTGGTGGGAAAGGAAGAAAGGGGGGAGGTCCGTGGTAGAGGTGGGAACGGGGGAAATAAAAGGGGAGAGAGACCAAATCCTAGGTGTCTGGGAACTAATCTGGGTGGAAGACCCTTGGACAGGGAGATGGGAGAAGGTGAAGGTGCCTCGCAAGGAAGCTGACTACCGCCCGAGGAAGGGACTACCCCAGAGACCATCACACTGGGGTGAGTTGAAGGCCATAGAGTGGAGGCGATGGCTGAACGAGGAGAAAGAGCCAGTAGCGAGGGAAGCGGAAGAGCGCCGGGCATGGCATGCAGAGGAAGCACAGAGGATAGCATACCTATGGGACCGTGGGGCCCCTCTGCGAGAGAAGGGGGACCTTTATGGGGAGAGGCCAGAGATGAGGAAACCCTACCGCTATTAGGGGATGAAGAAAGAGAACACCCTATTGAAGACAATGAGCCCTTTTTACCCAGGCCATGGGAGAACAAATCATTGAACCCTTTTGATCCCAAAGCTTGGTTGCCCTTGCGTTGCCCGTTGGTGGCAAGAGAAAAGTTACAAGATGAACAGTTAGATAACGTGTTCCAGTTGAATGACTCAGTAAACCCAAGTTTTGATTTAACTTTTAAAATGACTCCTACTTTATTCAGGAAAGAGGACGAGGCTAGGTATGAACCCTCACAGTGTATAGTTGCTGATCGGCTAGCAACTCAGAAATGATCACATGCTGTTAAAATAAAATGAAGGTAGCTAGCCAATCAGCAATGCATGTTTTCTTGGTGCAGCCTGGATACCTCTTGCTTCTTCCCACCCTGCTTGCATCATTTTCTCAAAAGGATGGCAATTCTTCATTCTCTTGCATTACAGTATTGTGGCAGACAACAGTGATCAAACTGTTTCATCAGATGCCATTGGGTTTGAATGCTTCCAAGGTGCTATATAAATATTTAACAGACATCTTTTTTTAAAAAATGATTTTTTTAAAAAAATTGCTTTTTATCTTTAAAAAGTATGCTTGGAGTGTAACATAACTAAATGTAAAGTGTTCATTTAATGAAGTTAGGAGAAAGAAAGCTCTCTCTGTTCTTGTCATGTGGAGGGGGGAAAATCTAAACTAAAATGTTCAACACCAGACTCAGTTAATCAGTTGTTCAGAGTCTTGCAGGCTGCTCTCAATATGGTGATTTTTAAAAAACAGGACGGGCTATTTTACAGCATGCAGCTCATGCTAAGTGTTAATAAAACTCCATTTACCAACCCCTGAGCAGTCTAGTTTTTCCCTAATTCACATGCTGTTAGGATAATGAATGGGGAGGAGAAGCAGCTGGCACAGTTTGGAAAATGACAACAGAAGGTATACCTTACCCTGTCCACACGTCACACTGCAACTTGTCCAGGTTCCGTATTGCCAAAAATACTCTGGCTCTTCCATCTCATTTTCAGAGTCTTTCCGGACAGTATATTCGTATTTTATTCCTGGATTATTCTCCTGAAAAAGGAGCTGGAAGGAAAGAGATGACATATACAGGTAAATCTGAAATGGTATTGAGCAAATATAAGAGCAAGAAAGCTTGCCGTTCTGTGGGGGTATGTTCAAAAGCAGATGTGGACAACCTCTGGCCCTCCAGATATTGCTGGAGGCCAGCTCCCATCAATCCCGTCCAGCATGAGCCGTGGTCAGAAGAAATGGCATCTGTAGTCCAACAACATCTAACAGACCCTAAATTCGCCACCCGTATAAAAAATAGTGAGAAAAGCCAACAAAAACAAACAGTGATTAGAAATATTATTTTTTTGATTCAGCTCCCAAAATCTTTCATCTAACCTGACTAGTAAGGTTTCCAAACTCTGATAATTATCAACAGACACATTAATTTATTGGGAATACATCAGGTCCATTCTGAAATGCATTCCTGTCACTGGTAACGTGTGACTGTTACTGTCCTGTCCCACACAGATAATAAACAGAGCATCTTTCCATGCTCCCGGCAGTTTGGATATCTTGTTCCTGTTTGCTGTTGTTATGTGCTATCAAGTTGGAACCCACTTGACCCTAACAAGGCTTTCAAGGTAAATGAGATATTTAAGGAGTGGCTTTACCAGTTCCATTCCCCCAGTGAGTTTCCATGCCTCAGCGTGTGTTCGAACCCTGTTCTCCAAAGTCCTAATCTATCCCTCTAACTGCTACATCACACTTGTTCCTGTAGCCAATGTGTTCAAACCCTGTTCTCCAAAGTCCTAATCCATCCCTCCTGCTACATCACACTTGTTCCTGTAGCCAAAGAGAAATCTTGTTTCTTTAACCATACCTGTAGCCATACAGATTCATTTGTTGGTCCAGGAGCAGTGAGATTTTCCAGGTCTCCTTTTCTCCCATATTGGAAGATAGTTCCTGCTACTTTGTAGTCGCCATTCCACTGGATAATAAACCCTCCATTTAGGTAATACTTCTCTGGATTCTCACTCCGTAATGCAAGGAAATTTCCTGCTTCGGCCACTTCTACCACCTTGATGTTCCTTGCACCTTTTGGAATGAGGCCAATGTCAACATAACCTATAAAGGAAAAAACAGATCAGTACAGGTGGCAGCTTCAGAAGGAGCAACCATGGTTCATTGTATCATGTTCTTACTGTGGGAACATTCTGGAATGTATAAGGAAAACCATAGGCCTAGGACCAGAGCAAAGGTCCAAAACTTTGGTTCATGAAAGCAGGCCCTGTTAGCAGAACTATTCGAAAGACAGTTCTTGCTGTCATCTGAGAAACAGGGAGTTGGTAAGAAATGAAGTACAACAAAAGATGTTTTGATGCTTCATGGCATTTTTAGATATTTGATGATTGAGGGTCAGTGAAAAATGTGTAACTGTGGAAAGGCGTAGACCAATCTCTGCCTAGCCTATATAAATATGTATTGATGTATGCACTAGCTGCCTTCATGACAGGAGACCTGCTGGAATCCTGTTGCATTGTGCCTCTATTTACAAACATATATTTTATTTTGAATAAAGCCCTCTTTATTTATAAACTGCCAGGATAGTTTACTTTTCTAAACATGGTTTTTTTTTTTAACAAACATTACAGGCATAATCAACCTGTTTCATTTTTTCCCTATACAATATTTAGTACATTTTAACTACTTCTATAAGAAATACATGATGATGACATTTGCATATGGATAAAAAGAGTCCTCAAGAAAACGACATTCTTCACTTTGGGACCATGCAGGCATGCATTGCAGGAGGCACTATCTTAAAAGCAAGATTCCCTTTTTCCAAAATGCATGTGAATTGCAGTTCTAAAAATTAGAATCTTCTTACTTGTATTAGAAGTTGTTAATAGTTATTGCCAGGCATTCACTAATGCCTTTTTAAAGCAACCTACATCATTTTAATGAATGAATGCACAACATAGTGCAGTCCTAGCCAATTTAAATGATTCATTCATGAAACCTTGGGATAACCCCTAGTTCTGGTGTCCTACTGTTAATGAGTCTAAGTACATGTAATTGAAACAATCACACGTTCACCACCTGCCTTCAATTTCCGATCACTCCTCTGCCATTTCCTGAGTTGAGCTGCATCAGAGCAGGAGTTGTGCATTCTCTAACAAAGAGATGGGTCACTTTCATGAGTCTGAATGCCAGGTGTTCCACCCCCAGTACCCTCCCAGGGCTGAAAAGGCCACTAAAATGTGCTCTCCAAGCAATGTACATGTTTGCTGGAATAACAGGGACCCAAGGTATGGCCGGGGTTCATAAAAACAGCTTTGGGAGACTGCTTCCAACCTCAGGAGTGGCAATCAAATAACTGTGATTGCAATTAGCATGTGCAATGATTTGGGGTAGGAAATTAGATTACCTTTCCTTGGTCTCGTTAGATTGTCTTGTTGCTGAGGAGCACTGCCGTTTGGGGGATCAGCCAGTGCAGGTGTCAGGCAGAGAGATAGCAAGAAGATTCATCCCAGAAAATTCCCTTTCCCAAGAACAACAAATATGGCTATTGTGCATTTTTATATGGTTTCTGGCCAGGCTCCCTAGGGATCTGGTTCCTTGTTAGTCATGTGTCCTGTTCTGATCTGACTGCAATCTTTGCCCAACTAGCTTTGAATCTTCCCATAAACATCACACTGTTTTCCAAAGTTTATCCTATGTGTCTTGAATAATGGAAAATATTCAAAGCTTAGTAACTGCAGAGCTAAATTGGTATAAGCCAGAAATGATATTTAACTGTAATAAAGACCTGGAAGGTTGCTCTCAAGCCATACATGCCTTGAGTTAATAATAAAGCATCAGTGCTGATAAATTTATATAGAAAAGATAAGTGACCACCCAGCATGCCACCTAATACCTTTTTACTCATTTATTTCTTGAAATCATCAAAAACATTATGAGCCCAAAAATAATTTGACTTAACCTAAGAAGTGATGTTGTTACTCCTTTATATCAACATATCCAGATCCATTCTGCAATCTGAGTCCTTGATGGAAAACTAATAAAGCTTCAATTCTTCTCTCTAAATGACATAACTCAGTATGGTTAAAGCCTCATTATAATATATAATGAGAAAAGATTTAGGAGCAATGGTGTCTAAGGTTTGGATCAAACAGAAAACCTGATCAGGCTGCTCTTAAGTACTGGCTATATTTGGGTCCACATCACGCACTCCTGTGCAGGATTTCATAAATACAATCCTTAGTGTGTCCAGTGAGACTTTCTCCCATGCAAATGTACAGTGGTTTATAGCCACTGTCTCAGTGAACTATGGGGATTACAACCATTACAGTACTTCCCTATTCACCTTTGACATATATGTTTGAAAGGCCCTTTATCCTTGCAAATAACAGGGAGGGACATTAAGTGTGTGATCAAAACAATATACAATGGACTACCAGTCACAACTAGAGTAGACCTACTGAATTAGCGGAATTTCTGTTGATTCAATAACCTACTGTACTGACATTCAACTTTACTCTGATAAAATTAGTAAATCACCACCAATATAATAACATTCCAATAGGACAGCAAATAAACAGAATATAACTCTCACAAAACTAGTTAAAATGGATGTAAAAATTTCAAACATCTGTTGGAGATGTAAACAAAAAGAAGGTTCTCTCTATCACATGTGGTAGACATGCGGGAAAGCCCAAAAATATTGGAAAAGGGTTGAAATGCTTTTGCAAGAGGTTCTAGAGATTCCGATAACTGTCACCCCTGAATTATTTCTTCTAAACATAATTCCAGAATTAATAGAACCATTAAAAATTATTTAGCCATCCATATCTTGACAGCTGCAAGAATTCTCTTTGCTAAACATTGGAAAGAGAATCCATCTCAAGATGAATTAATAGCAAAAATTCTGGATACGGCAGAAATGGATAAATTATCAGAATGGTTAGATCCAACAAGAAAGATGAATCATGACAATTGTTGACATAAATTATGCAAATTAGTAATTGATAATAGAAAGCATAGGATTAATTTAGAAATAGAATGTATATCATAACTAAGTAATACTGGGAACTTATGTATCTTTGAAATGTAACAGATAAGGAGTATTTTAAATTGATCATGTTGATTTGCACCCCATTTTTTATCCCATGTCCCCTTGTCCCCTATCCCCATACCTAACCCATAAAATAAAATAAAAAACTTTTGAGTGAAAAAAAAGGACAGAAAATATGGCAGGCAGTTCATGAACAAAAGGAAAAGAAAAGAAAAAAGAAAATATTATGACAACTTTAAGAGCAATTTATCTATTCCAGCATGAGCTTTTGTGAATTAGGATCCACTTCTGCAGATACAGTTGTTGGAAGGGTAGTCAAGACAGTACGACATAAATATGATTGGAAAGTGGTCTGATCATGACAGTGGGATGTAGAGAACCTTTCAGTTTCCAACACTCCTGCCTCCTACTTAGTGGAAAACACTATGTCAAGAGCACTTCCTACCAAATATGTTATACCAATGACTTATTGCGATTTTCAGGGCAGCTATGATATCCCAAGTCAGTTCTCCTAATGCATCCTTACCATTCGCCTAAATATTCCCAAGATCACTGTCCAGAGATTCTCAAAAACATGGCTGAAGTCTTGTCGGCCAGGGAGACATTGATGGGCACCAGAGTGGCTGGTACGGAGGTGACCAGATGTACTAAATTTTGTAGACAGCAATAGTCAAAGCTTTTATGTTCTTGATTGCTGCATCCCATCGGACACGGAGTCAGTTCTTCAGTCATACATTTGCAACAGATGACAGCCTTACATGAACACTCTGACTCAAAAGTTTCCAATAAATATGTGGAAGATTTTTAGAATTGGCATGCAGTCTCAGACAAATAACACTATATAATTTTATTCAGCAACAAAAGTTTAAAGCAGCTGGAAGTCCACAGGAAAAAATAGTGTTGAGCATGATAAATTCACATAATTACCTTTCTGTGTTGAGCACAATAAATTGCTATAATGACCTTTCTGTTCTCTTTTTAATACACATAAATTAGAAGTCTTATATTTAGCTGAAATCCAGTTGCTTAGTGTAGTGAGTCGCAGCTAGAGTTAGGCCCATTGAATCAGTGGAGATTTGATGAATCAACTCCTCCATGAGTTAATTTCATTAAATGGGTCCACTTCAGTGGTGACTTCCTACACTAAGCAACAGAATTTCAGCCAATGTATAAAAAAAATTAAGCAACATGCATATATGGATGTAGTTCTATCTTTCCCCAGTAGTTTGTTACCTCAGAGACATTTGCTTTTCCCTTCTCCCTCTTTCAGAATCAGTGCCTGATAAGGAAATAACAACAACCAGCAGCTTCTATAAAAATGGGAAGATGAATCAACTCCTGCATGAGTTAATTTCATTAAATGGGTCCACTCCAGTGGTGACTTACTACACTAAGCAACAGAATTTCAGCCAATGTATAAAAAAAATTAAGCAACATGCATATATGGATGTAGTTCTATCTTTCCCCAGTAGTTTGTTACCTCAGAGACATTTGCTTTTCCCTTCTCCCTCTTTCAGAATCAGTGCCTGATAAGGAAATAACAACAACCAGCAGCTTCTATAAAAATGGGAAAGTGATAGTTGCAAATACTGTCCCTTTTAAATTACAAATTGTGGCTCAGGATATAGCTATCCATTTCCTTCATAACAAAAAAATATGTACCAGTTAAGTTCAGTTAAGGCTTGGATAAGTATCATGGCAGAAATTTTGATCCGCTTGGCAGGGCATATTGCTGATACATACAGAAAACTGCTCACATTGTGATTGGGTTGGGAAGCATTTCAAGCTCAAAACTGTCACTGGATGAGGGTGTATACTGTATATAAACATAACATAAAATGGAATCACAGGGTATTTTTTCTTCTTCCACAATGAGCCCAGTTTCCTCCTATCTTTGCAATTTTAATGAGAGCTATTGAGCACAACAAACTACATGATGGATCAATTACAACTGCCCATCCGCTTCCCATGTTTACGTGGGCTATCTGCCTTTTAATTTTTTTTAATGCAGCATGTTGTATGTACAAGAAGTGGTTTTAGTTTCATTTCAATAGACACACACACATACACATGAACACAATTTTTTAAAACACGGGTGGTCTGTTCATGATAGCACAGATGTCTGTCAAACAGTGCTGTGTAAGCCTGGATTTATCAACAATTTTTTTAAAAAATCTGATAAAAATTACAGAAAGAAAATGGCTGATATCAACAGAACATGACTAATGTATTCCCAAAGCAGTCACATGCTTTAAAAAGGGTTATGCCTACTTTCAGCCTCAGCAACATATATTTTATAGAGTTAATATAATTTTTGCATTGTAGTAAAACATCTTAAAAGCCTTCAAGATTTTTGCTCAACATCCAACATGGTATCTTCCTACAATACTACTTTCTGAAAAGGCACTTCTGTAAAACCAACTGTGGATGATAAAAATAACTTATTTTGTCTTCCAAAATAATTGTTTGATGTTTTGTCTTTGTATATTGTGTGGTATTTATCTTTTATTGTGATGGTATGTTTATGTCGTGAACCACCCAGAAAGTACTTGCACCATGTGGTGTTATATAAATTGAAATTAAAAATACAATAAAGAAATAAGCTGGAAAGTCACTACTAGTAATGCATTTTTTGTGTTTCTAATTTTCACTGGTCAAAATCCTTTTGCAAATGGTGTAACTTTGGCAGGTAATTTTTTCTAAGTTAAGAAACCACTGTAGACACTATAAGTTACATGCTGATTCACACAACATAGTATGCAATTGATAATGTCTTAAGGTAATTCCCTTACAAAAGTTATGCTGTTTGTATCATATTGAAAAAAGTTGTGCTGCTTGTATCATATTGAAATTCTCTTGTTTTGTACCGGTGTAATAAAACAAGAGAATTTCAGCCACTGCTCCAGACACCTCCAACAATATTTTTGATAATATCTGCATGATCTTGTTGGCTGCTTAATTATATTTGATTTTAGAATTTAATCTCAAACTATGTTATTTGCATTTTTTCACACTAATTTGGGAGTAAGTCCATTCAACAATACTTACTTATGAGAAAACATGCAGTGAATCAAACTATATATTACTATCTTATTTCTTGATGGAAGAAGAGGTAAATGTCTACACTAAGTGAATGCCTATTCTATTTTCCCTTGAAGATGCAGGGGAAAAGGCTTTAAAATTAAAATATACTTCAAAATAAAATCTCTTTTAGGAATGTGCATCGGATAATATTGTCATAATTATAAATAATTTTTACTACCAGCCTCAAAATAATTACACTCTACTTAATGTTCTAACCAACTGAAAACTTTATCATGGACACCTTTTAACTGGTTCAATGAAATATTTACTGTATCATTCTAGTGAGATTTTTTGTTCTAGTAGGATGTCTTGGAAGCCTGCAGCTTCCATCAACTCTAGGCAACCAAATTGTCATATAAGTTCAAAAGACTTGTTCTCTGATTTATTTTAAGCAAAAGGGGCCAAATCAGGATAGTCTAAGAGCATTTGTCACAAACACGAATTGGATCCAAATTCGTCCCTTTGTCTGATTGGATTATCTTTCGACCAGCAAGAGGACTTCCTATAGGGGAAGTATCTTCCACTGAAGAAAGAATATCTTTAGATGTAACACTATATATCTGTACCATACTCAAATATGCTTATTTCTTTAATAAACAGCAAGCACATTTAGTCTAGACAAAGAAGTGTAACTTGCTACCTTTCCTTCAGGACAAAATAACACTTTCTAGGCATGTACTTCTTGAGTCTGATACTTCCCTTCATTCAACTACCCAATTCCTAGGTTTACCAGCTTTTCACTTCTTCCACTGGCAGAGAACATTTAGATGCTGTTGTTTTTTATTGAGCTGGCTGCAAGAAGCATTGTGGAGAAAAGGTTATTTTTCTTACCTAATCCTTCACTTTGATTGAATGTTATCTTCACCGTCTGACAAGAGGAACCATCTCCCAGACAAACTCCACATTGATCTTCAGTGGCATTGGAATTTATCTCATAATCACAGCCTACAGTCTGAAAGAAACATGTTTTCAGAATAAGTGCTATGTTCATAATATATGGGATCAAGCAAGGCCTGTTATTGGTGAATGGGGCCAGCAGGGCCATTTGGCCTGGGCTTTAAATCATGGTGTGATTTAGAACAGCGGTCCCTAGCCTTTTGGGACTGTGGACTGGCTGAGCCTTTGAGGAAGGTGGGGCACCTCCCAGGCACCTGGGATGGTGTGTGCATGCTCTTGGGCACATGCACAAAGTGGTGCGGGGTGTACATGCCAGTGCTGGCGTGAGCGCTCCCCCACCCTTTCACGCATGTGCAGGAGCGTCTGCATGCCCTCACAGGTGCTCTGGTGCATGCATGAAGGGATGGGGGAGCGCTCATGCCAGCGCTGGCATGCACATGTGTGCACAAAGCAGCTGTGGGGAAGGGAGTGCGTGCAGGGGCGGGGGGGTCTGTCTCCACGGCCCGGTCCAGCTCAAGCCATGGACTGGCACTGGGCCGCGGACCAGGGGTTGATGACCTCTGATTTAGTACATACCACACTTTCTGTAACCCTGTTTTTACATTATTTTCTTTTTGTTTTTAAATAACTAAACATCAACATTAAATCTCAGAACTGCAGAGCTGGAAAGAACCCTAATGGATCACTGAGTCCAGCCCCTGTCAAAGAGGCACAGTGGGGAATCAAACTCCCAAACTCTGACTCCACAACCAAATACCTAACCCCCCGAGCTCTCTAGCATTACCTCAGGATCTTCCAAAAAAGGAAGTAGTCACATCTCTCTTGACCTCTGAGAAGTATTAAAATCAAGACCAAGCAACCAGTGAGAACTCCACTCGATTTAAATATCAGGTATTTTAGAAGGTGAAAATTGACATAATTTCAAAGTTAATGGCTGAAACCCTGTTGAATAACTTATGCTCCAGAAGGGTGATGATGTCACCAGTAGAGGGTAATTCTGCATAGTTAAATGTTTGCCTTCTGTCCCATGGCTTTTCTAATTCCCATGCAGTTCCTTTCATTGGATAAATGCTAGAGGAGTCAGAGTAGGGAAGGAAGAAGTTCTTAATTACCCAATTTTTTGCTGCTAGATAATGTTGCTGGCAGGTGGATATTTTCATTAATAAAAGTGTTCCTTCCTCTCTCCCATGGCTGCCATGTTATGAAAGGGACTACATGGAAGTAAAAAAAGCCATGTGATAGAAGTAAGAAAATTCTAATTACCAAAAATTGTCCCCTGTGATTGACATTATCATCCTTCTGCAGGCACAAGTTAAGCAACAGGACTTCGTAGATTCCCCATAGAAGTCATGTCTCATCATCTTCCAGAATACTGAACTGTACAGAGATAGAAAGATCTTGTAATGGGTCCCAGAACTGATGGGGATTCAGCAGAGACCAATAAACCTTCAGAGACCAAAATCTGGGAAGATATCCAGCTTGAAAAAGTCACATGTCCAGAGCCCTGAGCCCTTGTCTATAGACTACTGAGCAACTAGGTTCATGTCAAAGACCGCAAGGGCACACCTGGTAATCTGCCTGAAATGAAAGTTCAGAATCAAAGGATAATTACTAGTTTGACATCTGCTGACAATTTTAAATGTCATGTCTTTGTTCTCCAGTTAAAAAACGGGACTGGAAGGAGAAAAGCATTAGGATCGTGCAGTTTGCATGGGACAAAAGACAAAACAGGAGAGAATCCTGCTTAGCAACTGATTCTCAACAGAATGAGAGTTGCTCCCAATGTTTGCACAGTAGATGAGGAAGTAACTTGATGGGGTTGGAGCTTTGAGCAAAACAATGACAGATAAGGAAAAGTTACAACAGGTCTATAGCTTCTTTCTTGAACAGGGTGCCTGCAACCTTTGGGCATTTCCTGAGTTTCACATAGTATGTTACAATACTGTACAAGGCTCTTCTGGAACAAGACTATGATGGGAGAGCACAGGCAGCGCCAAGTCCCAGGCTCCCATTAAATCCATGAAACTGGTTAAAAAACAGAATGGGGAAAGTAGTGACAGTGCAAGCTGTTTAATCTTAATTTTGTTGTTTATTTCAATTGTACATTCATAACATTTTACTGTAGTACACTGCCCAGAGTGAACACTGATAAGATGGGCAATTTAGAAGTCAACCAACCAACCAACCAACCAACCAACCAACCAACCAACCAACCAACCAACCAACCAACCAACCAACCAACCAACCAACCAACCAACCAACCAACCAACCAACCAACCAACCAACCAACCAACCAACCAAACAACAAACCAACCAACCAACCAACCAACCAACAAACCAACCAACCAACCAACCAAACTCCTTCCAAAAAAGAGTCTGTTGTATCATGACTATGAAACTGTCAGCTGTTATTTTAAAAGAAACATATATTTCAATACTAAGCAAAGACAGTTTTGTTTTCCCAAGCTTTTCCATTTTAGTGGCATCGTGTAAAGCCATTTTCACCTGCATTTTGAAAAAGGTGTTACTGCTGTTCTACTCTGCATTTTACTCTGCATTTTATTATTTTATTCTAAACTGCGCTAAAAGGTCAGCATACAATTACAGTGAAAAGGAATTTTAAAAGAATAGTGCTGAGTGGGATGGCATCGATACAGTGCCCGTCCACAGGATGCTGATTCCACAGAAGCTTAGCTAGTTGGCATCAACAAGCTCTAAATACCATGAACACTTTATTTTATTTTCGCAAAGCCTTTAGGAAAATTGGACAGCTTTTCTGTTATTCTGTTGGTTTCTGCTGCTCAGGTCATTACAAAAAGAGCATGATTTACTGAATAACTTAAAATGCAGGTCCCTCCACTTAAGACTTCACCTTCCATTTTAATTATTAAGTGGAAGAAAGAACGGAGGGTATATTTAACTGATTATTCCGTTTCGACAGGCAAGGAAGCCTGAGCTTCGTTGAAGTTTTCTATGGAAAGAGAAATATCAATTCTGTAACTCAATCATGAATAGTAAGCATGTTTGTTTCCTTTTTTTAAAAAAATCTTTGGCTGCCAGTGCCTGAAAGAAGCTGGATTATACTGATAGGGAAAGACTTCGCTGGAATGTCTGTTATGAGATATGGATGGTTTGGCAGAGAGCTCACAAATGGAAAATTAAATGAGCCAGACATTGCCAGACGCTGCTGCTGAGCTGGTGCCAGGAGGGAGGTAAGACCATGTACGTGGTGTTGCCACACTGGTGGTACCAATGCAGGGCAGTCTAAGGTAGGGATCTCAGTGTGCAGAGAGCTAAGAATAAAGATCTCTTTATTCTTAGCTCTCTGCACACTGGCTGCCAATATTTCTAGAGACCAAGTAGTGTTTCATCCTTTATGGCAGCATAGAGATCATTTGATCTAATTCACACAAATTGCTTTGGGCTTGGGTTAATCTTAGAATAGATAATTGTGCAACCCAGCATGCATACATATGTATATAAGAATAATTGAGATGTATTATCTACATAATAGAACATTGTAGCTACAGTAATAGGATTTTATCTAGTGTCGGCCAGTGGGGGTTAAGAGGGTTAACTGCCAGACAGAAGAAGTCACAGTTAGAATGAGGCTTATTCTGCTTGTTCTGTTTGTCTGCTAGCACAAATCTTTCTGATAAGTAGTAGTATTTTTCAGTTATGCTGCCTGCTATTAGTGCATTACGGAAGTATTAGAGATCATATTGCAAATATACATAAGCTACTGGAGAATACCAAAGAATTTCAGAAGAAAATCAATTTGTGCTTTATATGTGCTATATGAGGAGAGCTTTATGGACCCAGTGATGGCTATCTTTGTGAATTCAGCCGCTACTTTACCAGGGGCCCAACTCACATGGAGAATCCCCAGGAATAGCAGTATCTCTTATCTTCAGAACCATTGCTATAAATTTGAGAGAAAGACTGTTGAACCTGGAAATAGGGGATGGGGTTGCAGTGTTCCTGTCTACCTTGAAGGCCAATAAGTACGGAATCAGTATCAACTGAACAGGGCTTAGGATGAAGTATGATCAATGTAGGTCAGAGGAGGTGAAGGAAGTCTAGGAAGCCTAAGAAGCCCCCCACAACATCTATTCCTCCCAGCTTAAACATACACGCTTTTACTGCAAGCCGAACTGTACCCATCATCTGCAACAAGAATTATAACATAGGTAGTGATGCAATATAACTGTTTTGGCAACCCCTCCTTGATAAAAGGCTATCCATTTTCAATACAGTGGCTGATGTTTCTTGGCTAATCAGGTTTTTTTCTAGGATTAGTTGAAAGTAGTTTTGTTGCTTATTGGTTCAGCTCCAGATATTGTCTGATTATTTCAAGAGATGTCGAACAAAGCACTACCATGGTGCTATTAGAAGAAAATAGCTTTTATTCCCTTGAATAGTTTTCAAAATGTCATGCCACAATGTCGTACAACACAGAACCAAGTTGGCATGACATCCTGCAAAGGACTTCAAAGAGATAAATCACGGTATATTCAGTGAGAAAAACAGATTGAGATTTTTTACTTTATAGGCCTTAGTTGTCATGTGTAACCATAAGAGGGTTTTTAAAGGTCATAGCACTTCCACAATGACATACAAAATAGAAAGACCTAGTTATCTGAGCACTCATCAAAGCTGTTACTCGGAACCTGATAAGAATGGTTCATTTCATGATCAGCACAGAAGCCGTTCCTATCTATCATCCCTGAAGGCCAGTTACCAAACTGAGTTCCTTGATGGAGATGATCGTGTGACACATGATTAGCACTCAAAAGTGTTTCCCATTAAAACTTGCAAAGGATCGTCTTCGATGTTCTCATTTCCCTGAAGGTGTGATCTTTCAAACTCTCTGCCAGCAAAAAAAAAAAAACTCATTTTGTAGCAATAAGATATTTTGGAGATTGCCAGTAATGTGCTGGGCTGTCTGTCAGAACAGTCTGCAAACTGTAGTTAGTTCAAAACTGGGCTACAAAATTTGCCTGGTGGAACCACCTATCATAGGCATATGACGTGGCTGAAGGGGAAAAAAAGGCC